TCGCTCAGTATTTGCAAGAGTGCATCGACAAATAATTGAAAATGGTTTTGGAAATCTCCAAACGGATCAAAACATAAATGTTCGTCAGCGCAGATTTACCCGTATGATTCTGCGTGAGTTTGATAGAGATCCGACCATAAGTGTTAGGAAAGTTTCTGGTGCCTTGGAAATTTCAGCAAGCCATGTTCACCGTGTTCTTAGAAATGACCATAGACGTCCTTGCCATTTGCAACCTGTGCAAGGACTACAGCCAGGGGACGGAGAACGAAGAATCACATTTTGTCAGTGGATTCTTGATAGAACTGAGAATAATAGGGAGTTTTTAAGTAACGTTTTATGGACCGATCAGTCATGGTTCACTAGACGTGGAGTGGTAAATTTTCATAATCAACATATTTGGTCGCATGAAAATCCGCATGCAGTTCGGTAAAGAAATTTTCAGCATGAATTTAGTGTGAACGTGTGGATTGGTATCTACCGTAATCGACTATTTGGACCATACCTTTTGCCTGCAAGGTTAAATGCTGCGACCTTCTTGGAATTTTTAAAGGCTGAACATGCAAATATGTGGGATGGTGTTATGTTAGATTTAAGAAGATTGGCCTGGTTCCAACTTGATGGTTGTCCAGCTCATTATTCGAGAATAGTTAGAAACTGGCTGGACGAAAATTATCCAGAAAGATGGATCGGCCGTGGAGGACCAGTAGCCTGGCGTCCACGATCCCCTGACCTAAATCCATTAGATTTCTTTGTGTGGGGATTTCTAAAAGAAAAAGTGTACCAAACTCCCGTAACCACAAGAGATATGCTAATAGACAGAATCAGGAATGCATGTGATGAAATAAGGCCTTATTTGAATAATGCTATACCACGTTCGATCATTCGTAGATGTGAATTATGTATTGAACAATTGGGTTTACATTTCGAGCAACTACTTTAGATTTTGTATGTTTGTCCTAACTATCCAATAGCATTTTAGTTGTAAATAATTAATTTAATTTGTTAAAAATAATATTGGAAAATTAAACAAATTAATATTCTGTTTTTTGTGTTTATTTGGAGTTAGGAATTATTGCAGTGTTTAAAAACACAATCTAAACGATCATCCTAATTACTTGTAATGCCCAAATCGAAAATATGAAAAAAAATATTATTTTTCCATAAATAATTAAAAATGCATCGAACCTTAAAAATCGAAATATCTCAAAAACGGCCAAATATAACGAAAGTTCACAGGAGAGCTTGTTTATGTTGAAAAGTGCGAAAAATCGGTTTTTTCAAAAAGCAAAAAATTGCACTAAGAAAAAAATTTCGCTAATTTTAATACACTACAGGTACAGTAGAGAGCGCCCTCTAGCGGCTACAGTAAAACTATGCCTATGGTTTGTTTTGTCGTACCAAAAAACCCTTGTATACCAATTTTCACTGTTATACATCAAATATTGTTCGAAATATTTAAAAAAAACTATTTTAGGAAGTAAATTTAAACACCCTGTATTTCGGAAGCCACGCATTTTTCGACCTATGTTTATATAGACTTTATGCATTAATTATAAAAGTTCTATCGAATCTTAAAGCTATGCAACAATAAACTGAAATACCCGTTAACGTTAGCATTACCTTGTATTTCAGTCGAATAGTCAAGAACAATTTAAACAAGGTTGTTATTTTTTTTAAACTTTGGTGTGGCGAGCACCAAACAAGAACACTTGAAACTAAATTAGTGTGTTACCGAAAACTTCTAAAATTGCCGACGCCAGCTGTTCTGTGAATAGTGAGGTGATATTTCTAATACTGAAACTACATATATCTACCATATTTATTTCAGTTTTGAATTCTTGTTACCCTTGAAGTTCGCAACCCATTCAGTAAAATCGCAAATGAGGACAGTCTACCTATGTTCAGTCGATAAAAACTGATGGCTGATGATATTGTGATTTGATGATTTCAAAGCTTACGAAATACTGCGTCTCTTCCATATTAATAATGTATGGCATATACATTTTGGAAATCAGAAGTAAGAACACCGCTCATCTGTGCAAACATCCAAAATGGATTCACTAAGGAGGGAAAGAAGATGATTGATGACAGAAGAAAAAAACGACACATTAAATTCTAATTAGGTATGCCACCCTGTAGAGTATAAAAAGCGGCAATGCTAATGTGCAATTTATGTTATATTCCACCTACAATAAAGCCAGAAAAAGTTGTGGAGTTCTAGAGAATTGTTTGTTTTGTACGTCTATCTTTGCAAATTCTCTATCCGAGAACCCAACTGCCTTCATGAAAATTTTCGTTTTTCGGAATTGAAAATTTATATTATAAGGGCCTTTTTGTTCAGAATGTCCCAAAAAAGCCTAAAGACACTGACAGGAGCGAAAAAAAATATGAAATGCATAAAAAAATGTTAAAATCAGTTTTGACGCAGATTTGTACTTGGAAACATGCAGATACGCTAAAGGAGTCCTTTTTGAAAGATTTTGTGTGAAAAATCTCAATGAGAATATTCTTCATATAAGATTTGATGATAATAGCTAGGCTATTATGGTTGCTAGGCAAAGTTGGCCATTTGGTGTACTCTTACATAAATGTTGTAAATAGTTCTGTTAAGAGCTTAACGATTCTACTCCGACCTCAACTCATGGGTTGCTGGCGAGACTATTTTCAGGCGTTCCAAGCTTTCCCAATGTCATTTACAGCGGGTTAAATCAAGCACAGTCTCTCGATCATCAGATTCTATTGGCCAGCAGCTCAGGACGGAAGTCAATACGACCACGCAATCGCTATTGTTTTGTCGCTGCATACTTGTTGTTTAACCATACCACATGTATAGTAGCTTCAAATAATAAAAACACTACGAGCCCCTGCCCACTTCAGTTAGCCCACTTTGTACCAAAATATGCCTTTATAAAATAAACATGACGAAACTATTTACTTCTAAAACAATTTATTTTCTCAAAAACATTTTAGATACACTCTAGTCGTAAAAAATACATATTTGAAATCACTTAGACCTATAACTATTAGAACATCTGAACAAATAAACAATATGCGAATAATTGCAACAATTGAAAGATTACCATTGGGTAACATTACCTTTATTTTTATTGCGGCTGAAATTCTTTGGGGTATAGTGTTAACCAAGTTTTGGCAAAAATTTGGTGTAAAACAATCCCATATTTCTTGAAGCTTTTGTCTCAGTTCGCTGATTGTACGAGCAGAATGTTTTCGTAGAACCTTTTTCATCCCATGCCACAAAGTTTCAATAGATGACAGATCTGGACTGCTAGAAACCCATTTCAAAAGTAGTACATTATTTTCTTCCATCCATTTTATAGCTTTTTTTGAGGTATGGCACGATGCTCCATCTTGCTGAAACACAAAATCTTGGCCGGATGTCAAACATTCGTCCATCACTGGTAAAAGCGATTCTTCTCAAGTTGCCAAATATTTGTTTGTATCCACATTTCCATCAATAAAATGAAGTTTTCCTACTCCTTTTGATGACATACTGCCCCAGACCATAATGGATGCTGGAAATTTCACTTTTCTTTTCAGACAGTCAACATGGAATACTTCATTTTTTTGCGAATAACTCTACTGCGACTGTCACCAACACAAACTTCGAATCGGGCCTCATCACTCCATTGTATTGCACACCATTGTTGAGGTGTCCATTGTCTATGTTATTTAGCCCATCTAGGCTGATTTTTGCTTTTGCAGTGGAGTTAATAGAGGCTTTTCTTTGGCCTATAAACAAGTTGTGCAACTTCAGGGTTTTTACTTCACTTTTTTTTATAAGAAAACTCACCTTGCAAGTGCTAAATCGCAGTTTGTGGGCCTCTCTATGAGTTGTGGACTTCGAAATTCTCCTTCCAACAGCGTCATTCCACAGAGCACTTAATTGTAAATAATTGGCACGCTTGTTTTTCACGATTATTCTTCTTAATGCTCTTCGGTCGGCATTTGTGATATTACTTTTTTTCACATACCGTGGCTTAATATTAGCTGAACCAGTTACGTTATATCTCCTAACAATATTTCTCACACTGTACCGCGATGAGTCTAACAAAGTCGCAAATTCTGATTGATTTCCCAGAATTAAAAAATTTAATCATCAGTAATCGAATTTTCTCACTAATAACCTTTCCTCTACCCATTTTGAAAATCTTAACTACCCAAAACTATTTTAAACGTATTCTGACTGCTGTGATTAAGAAAAACAATTGTCATGGCTTTTATTTTTCACAGCCACCTATGCGTTATAGACTTATTTTGCATTGAAATGAAAATAGGTTGATATGCTGTAATTGCAACATGTGTTTTTACGCTGCAAATTTGATTAGGGAGTGATAAAGTTGGTGTTTTCTACCATATATTATCAAAATATTCATTGTTGATATTTTACACCTATAACATCCTCCTACATTTTTATTATTCATGTTTCGTAAGAAAAAAACTAAGATTTCAATAGTTGGGCCAACTGAAATGGGAAGTGGTTCGTACTATTCACAGACTAGGAAAAATGATTGTGAATGAGCGGATATCCTGCCACTGTGCCAAAATGACTCACAGCCTCTAGACTTTAAAACCGGTAGGTAATTCTCTTTCGGGGAGAATTATCAAGGGCATCTTTCTTGACACCAGTTTGCCTTTTTTTCTGTGTCTTTGTGGATGCTTTCTATTTTCACCTGTGTTACGCATACAATCTGAGTAAGAGCAATGTGTTCAGAACCTCAAGAGTATATTCACAAATTATTGTACTTGTCTATAAATATTATTTAAATAATACAACTTGCAAAGAAAAACTGCTTAGTATTTCCGATGAAGTATACTTCTAACAAAATATTGTTAAATTTTCGTGACAAGAATCCTCAAACAAAAAAGCCGACTTTGTTGTGGTATATATTTTATTTACATTTTTGCTTCTTAGTATGATTATTCTAGTATAAATGGAAAATGAAAATGTAAATGTGATTTTCACTAACATGATTTCGCAAAGACTTATTTACTATAATATCATTTGGAAAACTGCTTACTTCGAAATACATCTTTCTACAAGGTGCAATTTTCGGTGCAATTTTAATACATTTACGTTAAAAAGTCAGGTTCTTTTTCCACGGCTTTTGCAGGTTTTATTGACTACGGGGTTTGGCAAATGAAATCAAAAAACTATAGATATTATCAACTTTAGTAACAATATTGTCTAGAAAACTCTTTTCTGTATAAATATAGTATTTAAAGTACCGTAACGAAAAAATCAAAGGTCATCTTAAAGACTAGTATTTCAACAAACTAAATCCATATTTTCATCCATTATAGAGTTTTTGTTGGGTCGGAAGTCTTCATTTCCTGGGCCGAATTTTCGGCGTAAATATCATTTGTTTTCTAAATGAAACTGTTATAAGTTAGCGCCATTCAGATTTTTCTTTCTCTTGAAGTAGTTGACAATTTCCTTGGAGGATAGGATTGAATATCGGTTCTTCAATAGACCATGTTTCAGATATAACTAAAAAATTTATTTATAATATTCGGATCACATAAATGAATTGAATCACAATAATTTTCACAGCAACATCTAAAATTCTACTATACCTAGGTGCTATTGAGGACCATTTGTTAATTGAGCCTGCGCTTGGGTGTTACCAGCATGTTGAGGAGCAAACTCGTTTTGCTGTTGGACATTTCCAGGGTGTTGCGAAGATAGCTGACCTCCAGGTTGGACAGCGTTGTTAGGTTGTTGACTTTGACCTTGAAGTGATCTAGCGATGTCTTCCGGTACTGGCGGAGCGGTAGGCAAATGGTCACCTTGAGGTTGGTAGCCATTTTCGTCTGCAACGTACCTGTAGAAAGAAGCAGTCGTTAATAAATAGATAGATAAACATTTAGTTCCAGCAGGCACGTACACCCCCAGTAGCAGGAAATGCTTAAAGCCAATGGAAGATAGGAAGGGGAAAACAATTAATGTTACACAAAAATTAACAATTGAATAACAGATAACAAAAAAAATAGCTGAAAAGGTTGCATATTAAATGTGATCTGCAAATCTGACTTGTAAACAATCGAGAAACGAGGTACAGATGTTACCTTCTAAGTCAAAATTGTTGTGAAGTGAATTTCTACTGTTACCCTGGGGCACGGTAAAGGGAACTATACGTAACCAAAATTCACATATTATATTCCGATAAACCAATTTATACAAAAATTGCTTTATTTAGCAACAAATAGTAATTAATTCTCGCTCGGGAAATAGACTTGTAGGTATATACTGTTATATACTGTTTTCTTAAGAAGGATACAACAAAGCCCTTGTCAGCATTCAGGTTGAGATGATTTGCTTGGGTCCATGAAGATACTGACACTATATCTTTCTGCAAGACAAGGCCATTCATTGGTAGTTCTTATTGAGTAATGGATTTTCAAACCATGTGTATTCAATAATTTCGAACAATGCAAGTCAGAGTTAAATCGTTTATGTATAACAGAAAGAGTAATGGTCCTAGATTGGAACTTTGTAGAATTCCTGAAGTAAGTCTTATAAGCGGTGAACAGTATCGAGTTAAACAATGTTACAAGATCTTCAGAGAACCCAATGACACTCTTTTCTAATAGAATGCGTATAAACAACATCAGCTTGTCCCTTATCGTCGCAAGCTTCGTAAATAGTTTGTCAATGTGGAAGATATGGCGTAGTATTTGAATTTCGAACCGACATTTTTCCTTTGCTACCGAATTGAATTGAAATCTCCCGCGGTCAAGATCATGGTATTGAAAAGTCTTCCTGATTAAAGCTTCCATTGGAACGACATAGAATGTACAACGTTTCGTCAACACCACCGTGTCCAGTTTGACGTACCTAATGAATAGCAACCACTTATTAATACAGTAACTTCGCGTCGAGAACGGAGATGGGAAGCATCTAATTTAACAGTCATCCTATAGAAAACCAGTAATGCAGAGATGTACTGCATTTCACGGGTATATCTGATAATTATAGTATTGACAATTTTGAAGAGTACGGTTATTATACTAAGTGACATATAAATCCGAACACCCAGTTTAAATGGTTTTATTTTAATAAAAGTTGGTGAATGTATACTAAGTGACATATAAATCCGAACACCCAGTTTAAACGGTTTTATTTTAATAAAATTTTGTACTTAATGAAGCATAATAAGTAAATGATAAAAATTTCAAAATGATTGCACTGCTTTAAAGCCCTTTGACCTTTAATAATGTGTGGATGCACCCTGATGTGCTACGCATTCTCCAACGCGACTAGGTATGCTTCTGATCAGGTGGTCAATGTCCTCCTGTGGTATCTCATTCCAGGCAACCACCAACTCCTCTCGAAGTGCTTCTAGAGTCTGAGGAGGACGTTGCAAATTGAGCAATCTCCTACCCATCATATCCCACACGTGCTCAATTGGGGATAAGTCGGGAGATCTTGGTGGCCATGGTAACAATGTGACATCATTATGTTGAAAGAAGTCTATTGTGACTCTTGCAACATGTGGTCGGGCATTATCTTGTTGGAAAGTTGGATCTGCCAGGGTGTCAAGATAGGGTAAAAGATGGGGTTCTAGAACTTCGCGGATAAAACGCTGCGCGTTCATGTTACCTCTGATGAAGATTAAAGGTGACCTGGAACCATAAGCTATAGCACCCCAAACTATAACTCCAACAATGTGATAAACATGTTTTTCAACAAAGAACTGTGGATTCCTCCTTACACCACGTCGCCTTCTAACCCTGGCACGACCATCGTGCATGCCTAAACAAAATCGAGACTCGTCACTAAAGACAATACTGTTCCATTCCTGATCCCAGAGTGACCGTTGTCTGCACCACTCAAGGCGATTACGTCGGTGTTCTCGAGTTAAAGGGAGGACCCAGTGTTGCCGGTATGAAAACAAGCCAAAACTTCTCATTCGTCGGTAAACACTTCGCATGCCAATAGGTATTCCGTGTTCGGCAAACCATTAATTTGCAATGGACCTGGTAGTGGAGAAACGGTCCCTTAAGGCCAATAATCTTAGGCGGCGATCTTCACGGTCTGTTGTTCTACGGCGGCGTCCAGTGCCCCTTGCTCTTTGCGTACGGCCTTCTCGAAGCCATGCCTGACAACACCTAACCACAGTGTCTATACTTCTTTGCACTCTAACTGCCAACGTTGATTTTTTACTGCGGCTGAAATATTCATTTTTAGAGCGTTAGTGAATTAAAAAAAAGCAGTATAAAAACCGGAATGTCCAACTGATGAGGCTGAAAATTTTTTCACTTGTTATTTACAGTAAGATAAATACATTCACCAACTTTTACTAAAATAAAACCATTTAAACTGGGTGTTCGGATTTATATGTCACTTAGTATATTTATCTTACTGTAAATTTAATAACGAGTGAAAAAATTGTCAGCCTTATCAGTTGGACATTCCGGTTTTTATACTGTTTTTTTTTTAATTCACTAACGCTCTAAAAATGAATATTTCAGCCGCAGTCAAGAATCAACGTTGGCGGATTTTGGTTCTTGACATCCTTTACGATTGGTTACGATGCCTAGAGTACGGAGACCTGTACGATTTCGTCAACTTAGTGAGTTTGATAGAGGCCGTATAGTGGGACTTCGGGAAGCTGGACTTTCTTTTCGGGCAATTGCAGTTAGAGTGCAAAGAAGTGTAGACACTGTGGTTAGGTGTTGTCAGGCATGGCTTCGAGAAGGCCGTACGCAAAGAGCAAGGGGCACTGGACGCCGCCGTAGAACAACAGACCGTGAAGATCGCCGCCTAAGATTATTGGCCTTAAGGGACCGTTTCTCCACTACCAGGTCCATTGCAAATGAATGGTTTGCAGAACACGGAAGACCTATTGGCATGCGAAGTGTTTACCGACGAATGAGAAGTTTTGGCTTGTTTTCATACCGGCCACACTGGGTCCTCCCTTTAACTCGAGAACACCGACGTAATCGCCTTGAGTGGTGCAGACAACGGTCACTCTGGGATCAGGAATGGAACAGCATTTAGTCAGTCTTTAGTAACGAGTCTCGATTTTGTTTAGGCATGCACGATGGTCGTGCCAGGGTTAGAAGGCGACGTGGTGAAAGGAGAAATCCACAGTTTTTTGTTGAAAGACATGTTCACCACACTGTAGTAGTTATGGTTTGGGGTGCTATAGCTTATGGTTCCAGGTCAACTTTAATCTTCATCAGAGGTAACATGAACGCACAGCGTTATATCCACGAAGTTCTAGAACCCCATCTTTTACCCTATCTTGATACCCTGGCAGGTCCAACTTTCCAATAAGATAATGCCCGACCACATGTTGCAAGAGTCACAATAGACTTCTTTCAACATAATGAAGTCACATTGTTACCATGGCCACCAAGATCTCCCGACTTCTCCAATTGAGCACGTGTGGGATATGATGGGTAGGAGATTGCTCAATTTGCAACGTCCTCCTCAGACTCTAGAAGCACTTCGAGAGGAGTTGGTGGTTACCTGCAATGAGATACCACAGGAGGACATTGACCACCTGATCAGAAGCATGCCTAGGCGCGTTGGAGGATGCGTAGCACATCAGGGCGCATCCACACATTATTAAAGGTCAAAGGGCTTTAAAGCAGTGCAATCATTTTGAAATTTTTATCATTTACTTCACTTCACTTCACTAAGTACTTATACAAAATTTTATTAAAATAAAACCATTTAAACTGGGTGTTCGAATTTATATGTCACTTAGTATATTAATTTAGTCCCAAAGAACGTAGTATTGAATATCCAACCATGAAAGTTTTTATAAGCTAAACAAACCACAAAGTACTCTCACCTCAGGTTAATCATGTGTCCACCTTCATCAGTGTAAGAAATGCTGCCTTCAATTACTTGTATCCTATCTGTAGAACTCTCTGGGTTGTCTTTAAGGTAGCCACTCTCATCAACTTTTATTCCATTGGCTGTCTCGAAACTGTAAATGAAGGTCTTGTGCTTATCATGGATATGCGCACCACTTACATTCAGTTTATAAACGACTCCTACAGCAATTGAAAATTGTAGAGGCTTACCTGAATTTGAACGATCCATCCGGGTTGATTTCTTCCGTTTGACTGATAATAGGAACTGGTGTTGATCCGGCATTTGCTGAAGCTAGCTGATTTTGCTGAGCTTGTGGTCTACTCAAGACAGGCACTACCACAGCAACAAAAAATCCCTGATAGAGAAAAACATTAAACATGTGAATAATTTAGCTTGCGAAACAGAATCTGTGCTTATCTATCTCATCTGATCCATCTTTTTCTAATCAAGTTGCGACCTTTGGAAGTCAGGTACATTTCGATATTTTTGTCACACTCGATGTTCTGGAGTGACTTACGATACAAATGTCTTATCCTTCAGAAACTGTCCAAGTCTCAGGTATTTTAGATCTAGTGCGCTTGGTTATTAAACAGATTTTCAATTTTACGGTAAAGCGGATTCAGCTTCAAAAGTGCATAGGAGATTTTCGTTTTGTTAAGGTTGTAGTTAGGATTGGTCATAAGCTACAGTAACGTTAGAGATTTTTGTATGATCAAGGTGTTGTCTAGTCGCACATTTTTGCGGAGTTTAAATGGAAGTGACCATTCCGATCCCAAGATAACCCATACAACGCTTACATGGGCTCTTTTAAAAAACTTATTATTCTATAACCTTTTAGTTTCTGTAATAGAAAGACGATCGTATGAAACTGGTAGCACATTAAAACGTAACCTGAAAATCCACCACTGTTTTTGGAATATCTGGCTCAAAATTTGCCAAATTCGGGGTTACGATGGAATTAAAGAGTAGTTTTCAGATACGTGTTTGAGAGATGAACAATTATTGTAATCCCGTTTTCATGCAGTCATTCTATCATGCAGACAAAACGTTCGGTTTTGAAATAATGATCTACCAATTAAAGCTTTGCTGTTCCTGAACTCAATCTTAAACATACTTAATTAAACGAATTCTTGAGCAACTTTGAAAAATTTCAAAATTTTTAAAACAACTCAAGAACTGTTTTTGATTTTGTTTCCTGGTTTGCAAATCGTCTAGATTAAATAACTGCATCAGAAATGGATCAGCCAAATTATAAATCAGTATCAGCCCTTACCAGCCTAAACATAATTGTGGAATGTTGTACAGTTGTTTCTTCTTCAGACTACTTACTACTGGACACTTGATCAATTGTTATGCTATTTATACTCACACACCACTAAAACTTTATGTGTGTATGAAGTGCTAATCAATATGGCCTTACTCAGATTGAGGAACGATCGAAATAATGTTAGACAAATATTGCATCTAAGACTGAAAGTTAGGAGAAAACAATTTGCATATTACATTCAGCAAGTAATGTAAATAAGCAATTGCACATTTCGTACTAAGTGGTTGTTAGCATTGTCGGGGTCAGATGTCAAACACCGTGATTTCTTGATAGTGTGAAGCGGGCCTTATGCAATTTCACGGAGCGACTACACATTTTTGTCATTCTGGAACCAATAATTAAACATATTATACAATAAGGTATTACGTCTTATAGAGAATACTTCACAAATGGAATAATGAGGCTAAAATTAATTGCTGTGTTATTTAATGAGCAATGCTTTGTCAGCAAAGTGACACCGCTGCTTGAGTCGTTTTCTACTTTTCTGGTTCTTTCCGCCTCGTACTTAGAAGAATAACACGAAAAGTTCCTATAAACAAGGTTCGCGAATATACACGGTACTCTTAGCATTGTTTTTCATAACCTTTTTTGAGAAACATTTTTAATTCAATCGTTTTGGAATGTTACAAGTGGAATCCTGAAACTTTCCTGTCTGATATGAACCGTTGAAAGCCAGGATGGTCCAAGTCCAAATTTTCAGATATCGAGGTTCAATGTGTATACTGATCTGGATGGATGAATCTTTGTCTGGGGGAGTTTTGAAAAATGTATCTTTCCGTTTTGCGCACATATGGCACCAGTCTGTTTTTATATGTCAATGGAAAGCTATAACCGTTATAAGGCAGAATGGGACAAGCATGACTTAACCCACTCTGGTTTTCAATAGTAGTGTCAAGCGGGCAAAAAATAGCATCAAGTACGTGCCAGAAGACTGGTATAACAATAAGAACAAGCAGACCCAGGAAACCCTTTTACGTCTGTGAGATGGAACGGTCTGATTTTTTCTCATCAACAACATTAGAGAAAGCTGTAACAAGACGAAAGTAAAATGGTACTAATGCCACTGTATCATGGCTCCAGATCCAGTGGCTACACTTTGAGAAACAAGAACCTTACAAAATTTTTTATAAAGAAAGTTTGAATGAAGAATTTCCATATAATTTTATAAATTTACTACCAAATCGAAAAGGCGCACCCAAAAACTTCAAAAATATAAACCTACCTCCTTTGTATGAATCCCCTCTTCCTGTCAACGACAAAAACAAGAAAAACATGGAAGAGCTTCTCCAATTCATACCACCAGTTCATCACAGTTTTTTCAAGAATCTGAAGACAGATGCAACTTTGCCAGATACCGGACCACTGCTTGTTACTGGAGAAGAAGAAGGAGAAGGTGAACAGACTCGAGAATTTCCAGAAATTCCATAAGGTCGCGTCAGTACAGTACAGTTTTTGTGTAGAAAATATACATTATTTTTTACTGTATGGAGATTGATTTCTGTCGTTTTGTAATAAAATTATCAATTCACATAATGTTGTGTAACTCTACTTTAATACTCTACTTTACTATAATCGTTACACCAGTATGAAACCAAAGGTAAGAACCGTTTTAAGGCAGAGTGGGCTAAAGCTTAAACATATGAAAAAAAAAAAAACACATGAACACAAAATGTTCATGTATTTTATGATAAGATAGTTAAATTGATTCTACCTTTAAGGGTATTTTGATTTCTTACTGCAGTTTTATTATTCTACATTTATCAGCCGCATCTAAACTTTAAAGCCTTAAATCTCGGAAACGTCTTTTTGTGACTTGGACCATCCTGACTTTCAATGGCACATATACAGTCAAGAAAGTTGAAGTCAATGGAGTTGAAGACACCGGAAATTTTATAAACCGTGTCATTAAATATAGAGCCCCCAACGTTAATTCTGAAGGATATTTTGTCCTCAATCAGTCTTATGACGTATGAAATGATGCCCTGTTCGTGGTACCTTTCCCTATCACCTTTAGATGTATTTTCTGCACTTGTGGCATACAATATTCAATTTTTACGTCTATAGTTCACTGGGTTCTCTTTCAGTTTCAATTAGTTTTTATTTCTAACACAAAGATGGTTGTAAAGCTTCTATCAAATGATTCTTCAGCTTCAAATGTTAAATGATTCCATTACAGTAGATAAAGAATACATTAGTCTGCAAAATTGTTGAATCCACCAACGTTCTATATTATTAGCAAAACACTAAGATACACATGTTGCCGTTTGGTGCTTATCACCCGCGATTGCTGACTACTTGATAAAAACGGGACGATTTGCAGGAGTTCTTATATCAAGTGGAAGAAAAAATACGATAGACTGATTTTTACCTATGCTTTAAAATGTGTCAGTCAAGAATTTAATCTCAAATCGCTGGAGTAGGAAACATGTTCTTATTGAGGATTTCTAAGCGGGTATCTCTTGTACCATTAAATAATTGAAAGAGTTTGTCTACTGACTTAGAAATCAAATAAGGCATGACTTTGGGGCAGGCATTATTGACTAATACCCAACGACTAATATTATATCATTGATGTAAATATACTAAGTGACATATAAATCCGAACACCCAGTTTAAATGGTTTTATTTTAATAAAAGTTGGTGAATGTATTTATCTTGCTGTAAATAACAGGTGAAAAAATTTTCAGCCTTATCAGTTGGACTTTCCGGTTTTTATACTGCTCTTTTTTAATTCACTAACGCTCTAAAAATAAATATTTCAGCCGCATTAAAGAATCAACGTTGGCGGATTTTGGTTCTTGACATCCTTTACGATCGGTTACGATGCCTAGAGTACGAAGACCTGTACGATTTCGCCAACTTAGTGAGGTTGATAGGGGCCGTATAGTGGGACTTCGGGAAGCTGGACTTTCTTTTCGTGCAATCGCAGTTAGAGTGCAAAGAAGTGTAGACACTGTGGTTAGGTGATGTCAGGCATGGCTTCGAGAAGGCCGTACGCAAAGAGCAAGGGGCACTGGACGCCGCGGTAGAACAACAGACCGTGAAGATCGCCGCCTAAGATTATTGGCCTTAAGGGACCGTTTCTCCACTACCAGGTCCATTGCAAATGAATGGTTTGCAGAACACGGAAGACCTATTGGCATGCGAAGTGTTTACTGACGAATGAGAAGTTTTGGCTTGTTTTCATACCGGCCACACTGGGTCCTCCCTTTAACTCGAGAACACCGACGTAATCGCCTTGAGTGGTGCAGACAACGATCACTCTGGGATCAGGAATGGAACAGTATTGTCCTTAGTGACGAGTCTCAAATTTGTTTAGGCATGCACTGTGGTCGTGCCAGGGTTAGAAGGCGACGTGGTGAAAGGAGGAATCCACAGTTTTTTGTTGAAAGACATGTTCGTCACACTGTTGGAGTTATGGTTTGGGGTGCTATAGCTTATGGTTCCAGGTCACCTTTAATCTTCATCAGAGGTAACATGAACGCGCAGCGTTATATCCACGAAGTTCTAGAACCCCATCTTTTACCCTATCTTGACACCCTGGCAGATCCAACTTTCCAACAAGATAATGCCCGACCACATGTTGCAAGAGTCACAATAGACTTCTTTCAACATAATGATGTCACATTATTACCATGGCCACCAAGATCTCCCGACTTATCCCCAATTGAGCACGTGTGGGATATGATGGGTAGGAGATTGCTCAATTTGCAACGTCCTCCTCAGATTCTAGAAGCACTTCGAGAGGAGTTGGTGGTTGCCTGGAATGAGATACCACAGGAGGACATTGACCACCTGATCAGAAGCATGCCTGGGCGCGTTGGAGAATGCGTAGCACATCAGGGTGCATCCACACATTATTAAAGGTCAAAGGGCTTTAAAGCAGTGCAATCATTTTGAAATTTTTACCATTTACTTATTATGCTTCATTAAGTACTTATAGAAAATTTTATTAAAATAAAACCATTTAAACTGGGTGTTCGGATTTATATGTCACTTAGTATAGATACTTATTTTTTAAATCTAGAAGAAACTTACCCTATTTCATGAGTATCCATCTTGCTTTGATACCTACTGAAGTGAACAGCTGATCAGCATATAACAATTTTATGTTAGTCTGCAACGTTGGATAGAATGGATCGGGTGTAAATCTAGCAAACATTTGTTTGTAGGGTTTTGTTTTTTTGTATGTAAATGAACCTTTCTAAATAAAAGAGCTTTCAGCAAATACAAAATTAATATGTAGCGTACAAAAAACCAAATCAAAATATGGCTCTGTCTACCTGTCATTGACGGAACCGTCAGAATTATGTGTCCTTTGCCGATATGGGGAATTTCGAAATATTACTAGATAACCAGCTGTCATTCTACCGAGATGGAAATTCGTGAAATAGGGTATATCTTAACTGCACATTTCTTTAATTCCCACATATATGACATGTACATAACCAAAAACCATATCACTCATTTTCATCGGTCTGTCTGTCCGCTAATTCTTGACCCGTCAATAACTGGGTACCGCTCGGAGACATGAAATTTCCACAAAAGTTTTCCGCCCTGCCAAAGACTTAAAACATCTTTTTTTTAAGTCGATCCACTGCTGGCAAAGCTAGAGGCATAAAACAAAGAAATAAAACATTGGAGGAGGGGCAAGTAGTGTGGGTTGCCTATTTTCAGGGGGTATCGTCAAGCCGTTTGAGCTCAGATGAGGTAACACAGCTTCATTCTCCCTTTCCCTCTTTCCTATCTCTCCTTTTTTTGAAATTCATTCTTCTATCAGTCAAAGTGTGGCTCATCAGTACTACGCTGTCAAGGTGAGCGTTTTTATTAGTAGATTGAATCACGTATGGTTTAGCAACAGATTTTCAAAATGCATACAGTATGTTGTATCAATCTTCTTCTTTTGAAATGAGTTATTAAATGTGGAACATATATTGACGAAATTAGAGGAGCACTATACGTAAGTTTGATTATAATATGGTAATTCTATGGTCCGATGTTTTCTTTCACAATATTCTGAGGTTGATATTACGTAGCTACAAGAAAGTTTTAAAGATAGACTAACAGATCTAAAAATACTATTTTTTTGCTAATACAAATATGAAGCTTAGACAAGAGACTATGTGCTCGTATACAGGGTGTTCCACGGAGTACTGCAGCGATCGATTACTCGAATAGTTAATATTAGACAGTTATGAAAATTTAAGGTTGTAGGATTTCTAAATGACTGGTGACTCTTCCGATAAAATGAAACCCTATGTATATTATTTGTTCTTCAGGCTAACGATTCTAAACACATTTCATGTCTGTATCAATGTCAACAAGGTCTAACAGTTTTTCGCGTGTTTTTGGCTTTGCTATATGATTGTAACCATTTCCGAAGACTAGGGTACCTACTTTAGTAGGTTTATTCCACACTTAAATGACGAATTGTACAGGGTGGTCAAAAGATAGAAACAAAGTTAGATTTGTTGGTGTTTTATGCGGCTTTTACCATGAGAAGATCCCAGTTGGCCATTGCGGAAATCTGGCAAACTACTAAAGGACAGCATCACGCCGTCGCCGTATCATGTCGAATCAACAAGTTCAATCACAATTCGTGCACCAAAGGTCAGTCGTTCCTACAACTGTAGAACGCCTTTATGAACTTCTTGATTTTCATAGTCTTTTCTCTCCTTAAGAAATTCTGAGGTATTTCTAGATTTCTACTGTTCCATGTCAGATGTCAGATGTCATAAAACAGATAATATAATTTAAAAGTATCAACAGTTTGATGCAAATAGATATTTGGTAACATAACCTCGAGATAGAGTGCTGATACGGAACACTAGAAATCTATAAATATCCCTGACTTTCTGAACGACAAAAAAAATGTGAAAACAACTAACAACTGTAGGAACGATTGACGATACGGCCCAAAATGACGCCGTAGTATTAGCGTAATGATACTTACCGCTAGAAAAATCTACATTAATTACGTTTGCGCAGATCTTTGCACATTATGTAAGAATTTGAAATTGTCTAAAATCCCAATTATCTGCAAATACTACTACTTTTGATAATTAACACCAAACATACGAATTTAATGACAGGACTGAAAAAAAATTACTCATGTCAAGTGCACTTTGATACTACATACTATGAGATTGGATAACAAATAAATATTAGACTGGCTCCTCCTATCTAGTTCGAATTCGTTCTCGCCACCCGAGATAAACTAATGGAAAAAGCCGTTTGGAGCGTTTGAGCAAGAGAAAAATCAACCTTATTTTAAATGCCTAATATGATGCAATTATAAATTAAGGGGTTTTGGTTTGGAAGAAACTACTTTTTTGTTTCTTTGAAACCTAGTTGATATTACTTTTTTTGACCACTCGGCACTAATTGTGATCTATATCTGGAATACAATATTCTAATCTATTACAACAAAGCCGTTACAAATATTGCAGAATAAAAAATCATAAAATCATTGGCCAGCATTTGGCATTTTTTGCCCAGCATATGATATATCTCAAAAACGGTTTGATATAGGTACTATGTAAGTATACGTGATATGTGTTAGGAATTTCGCATAGGATCTAGCAGTTCTACATAAAATAAGCGCCACCAGTTTGAAAATATTCAAGCCAAATTGTTCCATCAGTTATACCACCAAATTATCGTAACAGTATTATATCAATTTTTTGAGTAGTGAATCGCTGCAGTACTACACGGGACATCCCGTATAGTCAAAGGCAGTTAAGTTGTTTTAATCCTGAGCTTCCTTCCATTTTGAATGCTGAAATTCTGTGCCGGATTCTCATAGCAAGTTCGCACTCCACCACTCCCAAGGAAACATCCTTATTCTGATTGCAGAATACAAAGCTTCTATATTACATATCATACAGAGTGTATAAATAATAAGGAGACCAGTGTATAACATAAATCGTTCGCCATATTTCGTATAGCATGTGTCAAGTTGAGCGTATCACAGAGTCAATTTGGAGGTTGTCACAGCGAGACCGTGCGAGCCCGAACACACGTTAATACCGCAGCAATACCTGACTAAAGGCCTTTACCCATTGTAACGTATCATACTAGGATTGTATCCGGTCCGACCAGTGTCCTGTGCGTGTTATCATATGAGTCAATGCCCAGTACACCAGAGCGTGTTACGCGCTTAGCGTATTTTGCTGATGAGGAATCGGTTCTGACATTTTTTCTCATCAGCATGCTACCGAGTTATTAATCACGATTTAAGACCATTTTTGAATTATAGAGTATCAAAAATTGATCGAGTCCGTCTATCAACTGAAACGACAGAGCTGTCAACGGTTACGGTAGCAACATTCAAAAGTCGCTGCGTGTGACTGCTTGTTGAGAATCAACAGCTCTAGCCAAATTCGTCGACAGATCCTCCATACAACATCTGTCCCAAAATGGGCTGGATCAGATCGCCAACCGTTGTATGTACCACTATGCGCTGTTACCCGACCCTGATCTCTTTCTCATTTCTAGCTGACGAATGAGATCTAGTGGAGAATATACACTAGAACTGTCAAAGTCAGGCAGTTGCACTGAAACGCGGCGCTTACCATACGTAACATGATGACTAAGATCATAGTAGGATGATACTAGTATGATACAGCATAATGGATAAGGACCTTAACACACTAGGCAAGAAATAGCTCAAACGTATTTGGAAAGTATATAAAAGATCATGAGACATGTATCTTTGCATCGCTGCCTCGCGCAGGCTCACAATTAATTGTGTGTAGTGGAAAGCAGCGAACCTTCATTTCTTCTCTTTTCGTTTCACTTTCTCTCAAATCGTCTATTCTAATATTTAAAAACACTTTTGCGCTACTTCTTGCATACCAGATATATTAACCAAGTATTCAGCAATTGGTAACCTGTGTTTGGGCTCTAAACTTTCCGCCTTTATCTATTTCCGTCTTCTTCGTCCAGCCTTTTCCGTCGTAGATGGTTGAGAAGCGATCCAGTCCAAGGCCTTCTGGATATTTGGAGGGATCGGTGGTGGTGTGGGTAGATGCGCCCCTTGTGGTTGGAACCCACCCTCGTCGTCTGCTACGTAGGTTAAAGATATCTGGTTGCCTTCCTTGTCCGTGTAGGAGTAGGATCCTTGAGCTACGATCACTTCTGGGTTTTCGGCGTCGCTGGTTTTCTTGATGGTGCCTGTTTCGTCCGCCTTGATTCCGTTCTCCGTTTCATAGCTGAAAAGATAACCATCGGCAAGGTTATTATCATATATAAAATGGAATGTTCCATTTTTATTTCCATATTTGTATGGAGAAGAAGCAGAAAACTGATACGACTCCGAGTGTTTCTAATTCAGCCCTCACCATTGAGATCTGGGAGACGGTAAGAGATACCAAATCGCTCATATGGAGGCAAATTTCTCCGGAAGTATACTAAGTGACATATAAATCCGAACACCCAGTTTAAATGGTTTTATTTTAATAAAATTTTATATAAGTACTTAATGAAGCATAATAAGTAAATGATAAAAATTTCAAAATGATTGCACTGCTTTAAGGCCCTTTGACCTTTAATAATGTGTGGATGCACCCTGATGTGCTACGCATTCTCCAACGCGCCTAGGCATGCTTCTGATCAGGTGGTCAATGTCCTCCTGTGGTATCTCATTCCAGGCAACCACCAACTCCTCTCGAAGTGCTTCTAGAGTCTGAGGAGGACGTTGCAAATTGAGCAATCTTCTACCCATCATATCCCACACGTGCTCAATTGGGGATAAGTCGGGAGGTCTTGGTGACCATGGTAACAATGTGACATTATGTTGAATGAAGTCTTGCCAGGGTGTCAAGATAGGGTAAAAGATGGGGTTCTAGAACTTCGTGGATATAACGCTGCGCGTTTATGTTACCTCTGATGAAGATTAAAGGTGACCAGGAACCATAAGCTATAGCACCCCAAACCATAACTCCAACAGTGTGATGAACATGTCTTTCAACAATAAACTGTGGATTCCTCATTTCACCACGTCGCCTTCTAACCCTGGCACGACCATCGTGCACGCCTAAACAAAATCGAGACTCGTCACTAAAGACAATACTGTTCCATTCCTGATCCCGGAGTGACCGTTGTCTGCACCACTTAAGGCGATTACGTCGGTGTTCTCGAGTTAAAGGGAGGACCCAGTGTGGCCTGAATGAAAACAAGCCAAAACTTCTCATTCGTCGTTAAACACTTCGCATGCCAATAGGTCTTCCGTGTTCTGCAAACCATTCATTTGCAATGGACCTGGTAGTGGAGAAACGGTCCCTTAAGGCCAATAATCTTAGGCGGCGATCTTCACGGTCTGTTGTTCTACGGCGGCGACCAGTGCCCCTTGCTCTTTGCGTATGGCCTTCTCGAAGCCATGCCTGACAACACCTAACCACAGTGCACTCTAACTGCAATTGCCCGAAAAGAAAGTCCAGCTTCCCGAAGTCCCACTATACGGCCCCTATCAAACTCACTAAGTTGACGAAATCGTACAGGTCTCCGTACTCTAGGCATCGTAACCGATCGTAAAGGATGCCAAGAACCAAAATCCGCCAACGTTGATTCTTTTCTGCGGCTGAAATATTCATTTTTAGAGCGTTAGTGAATAAAAAAAAGCAGTATAAAAACCGGAATGTCCAACTGATAAGGCTGAAAGTTTTCCCACTTGTTATTTACAGTAAGATAAATACATTCACCAACTTTTATTAAAATAAAACCATTTAAACTGGGTATTCGGATTTATATGTCACTTAGTATACTTTGAATATCGAAACTTCCCAAGTGGCATTTTATTAGTGATCTCAATAGGCAACTTTGCCTCCATTTAACTTTGGACTATTACTTGTACAGTTGTAAGATAATTCTGATCTATTTCGTTCAACTTCCTGTCTTATTGAGTACTGTCTCAATCTAAGGATGGCTAACAATTGTATACCTAACAATATCATTGAAAAATGCAAAATGTTGCAAACAATTCAAATTTTTTTGATAGAGACTGAGGGCCAACCGAAACTTTAATCTGACTAGACTAATCTGAAATTTAATTTTGTCTACTCATAATTTGAATCTGAAAGTCACTAGAAAAGGTACTTTCGCATTATAAGTAGTAAGTTCTCTGAAAATAAGCTCAGTATGCCCCAAAAAGAACTATGAATATCAAATTCATTAAAATACTCACAAATCTTTTTATTGTAAAAATATACTGAAAATGATATAATAGCAAGAATTTTTATACAGGGTGGCGCATCGAAAACGAAACAGATGCATTTACCGGCAACTCAGTTTTTTTTTTGGAAAAACGCTCAGACCCATCGATTTTGTTTTCGAGGGGGACACAAGTTTGGCAAAAAATCACGTTAATACGTGCAGCCCCCTGGGCCCAAACCTAAAATCTTAAATGGAAAGGGGGGTCGAGTGATACCTTATTTCAAAGGTCTGTCAATTCGCTTTATAATGCTGTAAAATGCATGAGCTTCAGTTAAGTAGTTTTGAAGATTTATTGATTTAAAGCTTAAAGTAGACCTTAATAAGTAGATCAGATTAGTTTGTACTACATTCAGAAGAAATTTGACTAAAAGAATTTACTTAATAAGTAAATGCTTTTCTTCACTACGCCCATGGTTTGTTTATCATTTTGTTGTTGAAAATAGCTATTGGAGCGTTTTTTGTGGCAAAAAAGTTATTTCTTGAAGAAAGATAAGGAAATATCTCGTACTTATTTTAAATAGGAATTTAGTACATAGCTTCCGATTGATTTGACCAAACTTTGTTGCTAAAATAACTTGTAACGCTTTATCACATAAATTAACCATCGTATATTCCACAGCAGAAGTAGTTGAAATTATCGAAATATTTTTCGGAAATAATCAGAGCGCTAATAGAACAGCAGAAATATTTAATGAGCGACATGAGAACAGTAACGTGCATCGAAAATGTGTTCTAGAACTTGTAGCTAAAAATTGAAAATCCCATAAGGAACGAAGCAATAGAAGTGGGGGTTTTAGGGCAAGTTTATGAAGATCCTACGTTAGGTACCCGCAAATTGGAAACTGTGTGTGATGTTAGTCGACGTACTGTCCAATGGATTCTAAAGGCCCGCAGTTTTCATCCGTATAAAATTCACTTGGTACAAGAACTTAATGAAGACGATTTTGATCGGCGAATACAATTTTGTGAAGATATGAGTGAACGAATTATTAACGACGAACAATTTCTATTCAACACTTGTTTTTCCGACGAATGTTTCTTTTTCTTAAATGGCGTAGTAAATGGTCATAACTTCCGATAATGGTCCGATTCTAATCCCAGAATTTATCATGAGGTTCATAAACAGCAGCAACAAAAATTAAATGTTTGGGCTGGTATTTTTGGCGATCATTTAGTTGTTCCTTTTTTCTTACCTTTGAATTTGGAATTAGTGGAAGACGCCATAGATCCTGCATTAACAGCCATAATTGAAAATCAGAATGATGGGCGGTACATTGCGCATAGGTTGATGTTCCAACAGGATGGTACCCCACCACATTACGCATTACGTGTTCGACAATATTTAGATCAGACGTTTCCAGATCGATGGATTGGTAGAACAGGTGCCATTGAATGGCCCTCAAGATCGCCAGATTTATCGCCTTTGAATTTCTTTATGTGGAGTCATTTAAAAATCAAAATCTATGCTACTCAGCCAACCTGACCATTTTATCACTCGTTGTTCATGGCAACATAAATCAATATGTAAAGAATTCTTGAATTCTAATAGACATATGTAGGTGTTTACCTTTTTTGTCACTAACATATATATAGAAAAATCGGATAGAATACATGAGAACTACGTTCTAATTTCATGTATTCCGCCATTGACTTGACTGCACAACTATTTCGTCGAAACCATCCCATCAAATATTTCACCTGTTCTTACAAGAGGACCCTAGTTACAAACACAATATATGAGTTGCACCATGACATAGCTAATCATCTAATATTGCAGGCACGTAAACAGTTGAGCGATTATATTATAAACGTAAAATATCCAAATGTCATCGCGTCACAGCATGGTGGCGTAGAAAGGTTGTTACGACTGATCTGCTTGTAGCAATTCTGATTTAAATTTAAATATATGCTTTTGTTATTTTAGGATTCAGTAGAAAAGGCTTGAAGAATGTTATATCGTCGGACATCTGACAATACCTGCTATATGCAGGAACCGCAATTTTACAGGGTACTTTCGTCACACAAAATAAATGACGTTTAACACATATTTAATGCGTTTTTATCTAAATGAAGCTCTAATTGACAAAATTAGTGCAGATAGCTGATATTTCTGCTAAGTTTCTTTGCAGTTAGCAGATATTGTACTATGATGCATAAATAGATTTAGTGAGATTCATGTTGGAAGAACTGTTATTCATTATAACAAATTATAAGTTTAATACCTTTACAGATCAAAAAGATAATAGCATGTATTCTCAGTTACACCTTAGATGAACGTTCAGCTTCTTTTCTTGACATATGGCAAATTGGCAAATTGTCGTAAAACATGTGACAGTCCTTAGATATAACACTTATAATCTAAAATGACGGGTAGCTGTTTTGGTCTCATAGACAACTCCTGAGGCTTTATCCTGAAGTCTAGTTTCAATTCATCTTTTCAATCGGGATTATAATATACTACTTTGATGTCCGTGACTATATTGTCCCTGCCTGGTCTAATTGTTGAGTATCACGGCACCTCTATCCTTGAAGAAGTCGTAACTCAATTGGATCACCTCTAGCACTAGCTTCTTTTGACGCTTTAACATGGTCATTTGGTAACTCAATAACTCTATTTCTCAATTTTCCTCAAGTGCAACTGTGTACAGAGTCACATTGCATTTGAGTGTGCAGTTTGCTAAGGTATATCTGAGACATCACAACGTCGTGTTTCATTGCAAGGTTAAGAAAAATAACACGCGTAATTGTCAGATAGCTAGAGTTGCCGCTCATTGACAGACGTGTTGCCAGTGGTAGGTATCGTTATGGCTGAGTAATTCAAAAACTAAATTTTTCTGCAGTTAGAGGACTCTGCCGCAATGTGCGCTGTAGGTAGACGAAGAAAAATGTGCATATACCTCAAATTGGGCAATGATGTCAGATAGCAGGTGTTGTCAGATGTCCGACGATATGATGGACCAAGGAACAACGATTCAAAATCATAAAGATACTTTTAAGGTCCGAGGCTTGTTCATTTCATCGTCTATAACATTTCGAGTTCGATTTAAGACCTGGGACTACTGGGTACCAATGACAAGCCGTCTCCTTTTAAATTTCCGGAACAAAAGCACGTAACGCTGCAAGACGATTCATATATCTAATAGATGGAACCAATTAAGCGTTTACATGTAAATTTATAAGAAAGCTCAGAGCTGAGAAAAACCATCCAATCAGTGGTTTCATGAGCTGAAAGTAAAGCACACTGCAAGCGAGTCAATCGCTCTGTTAAGGAGGCGTTTGTTTGTGGACGACATTATTTGAGTTCATACTTTGAGGACAGTTGAACGAAGATATGTTTATGAGTAAGCTGAGAGACATTATCACTTTGAAAGACAATATTCATAATGAATCCGCAGTTTGAACTCTCAAAATCTTGAGAAATTGTTGGAAAGTGCTTTATAAGAAAACTAGTAGGAGAGGCAAGATGTAAAATTCAAGAGACGTGACTCAAACCCAAAGCAAATTCATTCCAATTATCGCTTACATTCACAGCGTGATAGAGAAATGGGATCACAATATTTATCTTTGGCCACTCTGTACTGTTGCCGAACCCTTTCGCGTAATTACGCAGCAGAGAAAGTAAATAACTTCTGCGCATCTTTCTGCTGGTGATGTTTATCTGCCATTGTTAGGGATTTTTTTGTTTCGGCGTTGTTGCGTGCATGACGGATACCTTGATTTTATCAATCAGAATGACCTTTGTAGTACAGTGAAACGTATGCAAGAGTGGGAAGTATCTACGAAAAGAATAACAACAAAGACGCATGATAGTTGCTTAGCAATTAATGCTTAATTCACGTAGTATGCACGCAGCACACCAAAAGAATTTGAGAATCATGAAACCCGTGTGTCGGCGTCTTGCTGGCACTGAACTCACATAATTACACAGGAAGACAAATGCTAATACAGTTCTGACAGTAATCTTCCCGTTTTACTGTTTATATTTGTATCTTGGGACCGTTCGTTGAACGTAAAGCGGTTCAGTGGTGGCGGTCCTTTTTTATGCTGAACATCAGTAGCCGTGGAAAAGATATGAATATTCACAACACCACGAAGACTATAGATAGTAGGTAGGTTGAGCTCATAGAGTGAGGTGAAACCAAAAATGTCGACCATGTTATTTCACTGCGCAGAAAACAAATTTCAGGTGCTGCGATAGGGCATCTCACTCGTGTGTACACTACACAGGAAATGAATTTCAGGTTCTGTGCCTTGCTACTGTCATCATGATTGTAGGAAACTCTAATTTTGACAGTTCGAACGAGTTTCAAGCAGAAATATTGGATAATATTAATAAACCACGAAGTAATGCAGCTACAAAGCATGACAGAACGTGAGACACTCTATGCCACGTTCTACGCCAACTAGAGCCACACCATCGTTTTGTGTTTTTTCGATTGTCTTCAAATGAATACGCAGTTTAACGTCCTATATCTTCATGAAAAACATACTATTGAATCTGACAACCAAACTGTCAAACTGACAACGCCTTTCCATGGGTGCTGCTTTCAGCATAAAAGCGCTGGACCTCTGAAACGTTTTGCGTTGGCTGAACGCTTCCAGTCACAATGACTGGTTTAGCAGGAGTCAAACATGGTCAGGGAACTTCAACAAAAAAATATTTTCCAGTCTTGGTAGCCTTTCACCAAGCTGCATTACGAAGTACAATACATATCTACTAGGTCTCTGACCTGTACAGGCGTTCAAGAGAAACATCTCTACCGACCTGGAGACAATTTTGTCGTGTTTCACTTATGGATTAATTTTCAAGATCAGTGTGCTATTCCCATATCACTATACGAGAAGATTCGTATTAATAATTATCTAGGGTTAATAACCTAATTTTTGGTATGAGTGGGAATGTCATTATTTTCTACTGACAATCTAGCCATGTCGGTGGAATGTCAGTGGGGCACTGGTACGGCGGAATGAACTTTGTAAGCTTTTCCACCTCTGCCGGCACGGATGGTTCTGGTGTAACACAGGCTGGTTATACTCGGGTCTAACATTTTGGATCACCAGGAAGTATACGTGAAGGAGAAGATACCAAGGAAATTTAATTCAATTAGGAGTGGGTTCTCTGAACCAGCAAGCATGGAGGCAAGGCAGGAATTGTCGGGTGGCCTGGGCACTAGTTCCAAATGCCATCCATTCATTCACTGATTGACGCAAGTCTGACAACATAAGATCTATCCGTTTATCAGCTCCATCATTCTTCTCCCTAACATTTGCATGTTTATTGTCGCACGTCCGTTTTCTCGCTTTTTTCAACTACCTGTCTGCAGCGGTATTCTAAGTCCATTCAATCTGATTATCTCATGGTGTGTATAGAGATGACTAAAAAACAATGCTATCATTTTTTTTGTCAAAAAAATCATTTTTAGTGCATTTTATTGTGCAGTTAATTGTGCATGTTTTTTCAATCGTAACCTGTTAACAAGAACAGATCTGAAATTGTAAGTTAATATTCCACTTTTATGAAAGAATGAATCTTTTCTTCTCTTCTTGAAACGATAAGAAAAAAAGTAATCACTCGCTTCATTTTTCCAAAAAAGTCGAATATCCTCATACAATTTTAGTGCTGTACTTTTATTTGTTAGAATGTTACGATTGGAGAACACAAAAAAAGAAACAGATTGCATAGTTTTTCATCTCTAAACAAACCATGAAACAATCAGACGAAAAGTACTAATAATACTCCTCCAGACAGGCTTTCGACAAAAGGTAAATGCGACGTTAATATATATACTACTTGGGCAGTCCCCTAGATTTACTTTGACCAGTAATAAAAAACTTCCTTGCTGCAGAACTATTGAACAGCAGTTTTGTTTCATTCATCATAGGCTGAGGTTATATAACACATAAAAACACCAATTAATAGATTGTAGAAATTCCAAATATAGCAATGTCATAGTTTCAATGTTTACATGTGCAATAATTTTAGATTCCTTGCGGCTAGGTATTTGTGGTTTCCAAAACTGAAAAATCATTATGGTAAATGATTCTTTCCTTTTTTATTCGGTAATTATATTTCATCAAGGCTGCTCCTACTACTTTGGATCTACAGGAACACAGTACTGGAGACAATTTGGTTATAAAAATCTACAGAGAGATTGTGCCTTTAAAAAATATTTATTGCTAATTCTATCCATTATAAAGGTATCTGTGAATATCGTAGACTATGAACTATTCCTATCAAAATTCATGGAATAACTAACTCCGATGAATTTCAGTCTGAACTCATCGGCAACTGAACTTTTAAAGTATCACTGTGGTACAGCTTATTTCAATATTTTTTCTTTGCACGGGTGGAATGCAAATCCCCTGACGGTTCTCACGATTTCTAGGCCACGTCTGGTGATATTTACGGCTGCAGACGTATTGTTTCACTCCTGAATGTGGCTATCGTCACATTCTGATATACATTCGTTGATGTTTCATGAGATATTGTTATCTCATCGCACAAAGTATGTACGGACAAAATGCAAATGCCATTCCATTGTAGACTTTCCATTTCTAGCTTTTTTCCTAGATGACATTATATTGTCTCAACAAGCATCTTCAGATAAGAGCTTAGAAAAGTGGTTCAGTTTGATGGTTCAGGAGATTGTGGTGGGAAATACTCGTCAATTCCTCTTTTTTTCTTATCACACACAAATAATAAAAATGTAGCTGGGTGTTATAGGTTTAAAATATTAACAATGGATATTTTGATAATATATAGTAGAAAACACCAACTTTATCACTCCCTAATCAAATTTGCAGCATAAAAATAACACATGTTGCAATTACAGCATATCAACCTATTTTCATTTCAATACAAAATAAGTCTATAATGCCTAGGTGGCTGTGAAAAATAAAAGCCATGACAATTGTTTTTATTAATCACAGCTGTCAGAATACGTTCAAAATAGTTTTTGGTAGTTAAAGTTTTCAAAATGGGTAGAGGAAAGGTTATTAGTGAGAAAATTCGGTTACCGATAATTAAATTTTTTAATTCTGGGAAATCAAACGCAGAAATTGCAACTTTGTTAGACTTATTGCGGTACAGTGTGAGAAATATTGTTAGAAGATATAACGTAACCAGTTCAGTTAATATTAAGCCACGATATATGAAAAAAGTAATATCACAAATGCCGACCGAAGAGCACTAAGAAGAATAATCGTGAAAAGCAGGCGTGCCAATTATTTTCAATTAAGTGCTCGGTGGAGTGACGCTGTTGGAAGGAGAATTTCGAGGTTCACAACTCATAGAGAGGGCCACAAACTGGGATTTAGCACTTGCAAGGTAAGTTTTCTTATAAAAAAAAGTGAAGTAAAAACCCTAAAGTTGCACAACTTGTTTATAGTCCAAAGAAAAGCCACTATTAACTCCACTGCAAAAGAAAAATCGGCTTAAATGGGCTAAAGAACATAGGCAATGGACACCTCAACAATGGTGTGCAATCAATGGAGTGATGAGACCCGATTCGAAGTTTGTGTTGGTGACAGTCGCAGTTGAGTTATTCGCAAAAAAATGAAGCATTCCATGTTGACTGTCTGAAGAGAAAAGTTAAATTTCCAGCATCCATTATGGTCTGGGGCAGTACCTCATCAAAAGGAGTAGGAAAACTTCATTTCATTGATGGAAATATGGATATAAACAAATATTTGGCAGTTTTAAAAGAATCGCTTTTACCAGTGATGGAAGAACGTTTGACATCCGGCCAAGATTTTGTGTTTCAGCAAGATTGTGCAGCGTTCCATACCTCAAAAAAGGCTATAAAATGGATGGAAGGACATAATGTACCACTTTTGAAATGGGATCTGTCACCTATTGAAACTTTGTGGCTCGAGATGAACGACAACATCCTGCTCGTACAATCACCGAACTGATACAAAAGCTTCAAGAAATATGGGATTCTTTTACACCAAATTTTTTCCAGAACTTGGTTAACACTATGCCCCAAAGAATTTCAGCCGTAATAAAAAATAATGGTGATGTTACCCAATGGTAATCTTTCAATTGTTGCTTTGTAAACTTCGCACATTTATTCGCACATTGTTTATTTGTTCAGATGTTCTATTAGTTATAGGTCTAATGCCCGAATCGTCAGTCGTCCCTAGAATTGTAGGGCGCGTTTATGGCCTCCTTGATTGTCATACTCCTTTCTCTCCTTAAAAAATTTCTAGATGACACTTGTCCCGTGTCAGCGTCAGCGCTCTCCTATTGTGAAGATATGTTTTCTTTTTAAATTGTAGGAAATTTCAGGCTGATAAAACATGATGTAACTCAAAAGCAAGCACAATTTGATGCAAATAGATGTTTATGACATAACCTCAAAATAGAGTTCTGACACGGACAAGTAGAAAACTATGACAATCAAGGAGGGCATAAAGTCGCCCTACAATTATAGGGACGACTGACGATACGGGCCTAAGTGATATCAAATTTGTATTTTTTACGACTAGAGTGTATCTAAAATGTTTTTGAGAAAATAAAATGTTTTAGAAGTAAATAGTTTCGTCATGTTTAGCTTATAAAGGCATATTTTGGTACAAATCTTGAAGTGGGCCAACTGAAGTGGGAAGAGGCTAGTAGGTAGACATCTAAGAACTGTTTTACAGTCCGCAAGATCATTGCATCTAATTGCTTGTAGTTGCAAGACGGCCCTGTTTCCTGGATTCGAACGACTAAGGTTAGCTAACCTAAATGAATAAATGAATGACATATCTCCTCACACATACCTAACCTATATTTTTGGTTACCCTTCAGAACTCATGGTCTCGATATCCAAAAACTAATTTCAATCTCCGACCATCCAACATCAAAACATAATCGCACCTATATCTGTGAAGAATTACAATAACTATAATCACACAAGTCACCGGAACGGCCTGGGGATATTTGCATACTTTGATAACTTGAAAGTTACTAACTATTCCATCAGAACTACAGACAAACTTGCATGAAAGATCTATCTCATTGATTTCCCTGCAAGACCCCTGCCGTTGCAAGAAAGTGACAGGAAAAGTCACCTGTGTTGTTTGTGCACATGCGTCTGATCAACAATTGTCTGGCTTTTCCTGACATAATAATAGTCGGAGTTGAAACTATACGCGGGTGACCAAACGAATAACAAGACAATCATACACCGTATACAGTTATGTACATATTACATAAATTATCCTCTTTTAGGAAATCTCTGTCAATGCCGTGACACAATATGCTTAGGAGCTAGCAGTAATATAATAAGCAAGACATTTAACTAGACATGCTGAACAGTGCAAGCTTATACTACACTTAGTGGTAAAGAGACAGTTAAAACAATTTGATTTTAATAAAATTTTATATGCGTTTATACACGAGCAAGAAGAAGCTGAGATTGTATTTCGAAGAGAAAGCATTTGCTGTGTTGCTGATCTTGCTGAATCACCCCAATATCGTATACGTTGAGACATGCTTCCAGTGAAGTGATTTGATGTTGAGGTATCTCATCACATGCTAGCCGTACGTGACTCCGAGCAGCAAGCGATCGTGGAGGATGAGGTGGAGAGATCGCTCGTCTTCCTATCACATATCACGCATGTTCAATTATCCAGGTCAAGGAAGAAAATTGATTCGACCGTTATTGAAGTAGTCCACTGCAGCTCTAGCAATATGGGGAAGGCCATTACTTTGTTGGAAAACAGGTATTTCCTGGATATACCATGGTGCCATCATACCTCCTCTTAAGGAAGCTGCGGGACATGTAGTAACGTTCAACGGGCATTAGACGTCGCGGACTAAGACGTAATGTAAAGTTCTCAATTGAAGTAACGTGCACTACACATTAGTTGTATTATTAGGTATTTACGAGGGATGTCTTTTAAGTTTTGCATATGGAAATAAAACAACACGGTAGGTAGTTTTAAATGACTTTATTGTTTTTCGAAGTATTCTCCACGAAGATTAATACACATCTGCCTGCGCTCGAACCAATTTTCGAAGCACTTATTCCAATCGTTTGCTGGCAGATCCAAAACGGCATTTGTGACTGTGTCAACTGCTTCTTCTGGTCACTGGAACCTTTGACCACGCGGTCTGTTTTTAATTTTCGGGAAAGTAAATAAATCGTTAGGGCTTAGATCGGGACTATATGGAGGATGGTTCAATAACTCCGTTAAATACTGCCTTGTTTTTTGGGCTTTGTACGAGCTTAAATTGTCTTGGTGGAGGATAATTGTTCCTTCGGGGTTGATTTTTCGAAGCTCGGTGATGACTTTTGTCAAACAAATGGTGGTATACCAATCCGCAGTAACAGTTCTTTGCTCACTAAGAGGAATTGTTGAAATATGACCCGCTTTTGACACAAATGTCGCGGCCATCTTTTTCGAAACACTTCGAGAACGGATGACTTTTTTTGGACTTTCTTCACCTTGGAACACCCAAACAGCAATGATGAGTTTGCGCACAGCATCGACGTTTTCCGTCTTTGGTGCACCCACCCTGGGATCGTCGCTAAGACTCACCCGTCCACGTTTGAATTGTCGAATGATGGCCTACTATGTTTCTATATGCAAAACTTAAAAGACATCCCTCGTACCCCAATTTCTCAAAACCGTATTTTCTAACAAAATAGTGGCCTTCTTCATTTCACTAGAGCTACAGTAGACTACCTCAATAACGCTCTAGCCAGCCGCATTCCTTTCTAGATCTGGAGACCGTTCGTCACTTGAACATGAGTAGGATATGATGGGAAAAAATGTGTCTCTTTACCTCATTGGAGTGCAAGTATCTAAGGATAGCATACCTCAAGGAGACATAAATTACCTCATCAGAGGCAACCCCTAAAGACTCGATGAACGTATTATATTGCCTTCCAGCACATTATTAGAGAAGCCCAGCTTTACAGCAAATGTTTTCACTCCAAACCTTAATCACTACTTGCTCATGCCTAACTGTATACAAAACATCATTCAACTAAATACCTCTTTACTGGGTGGGTATTCTATTCTCTTTATTACTCTTTATTACTATTACCTTTGATGATTCCTAGAATCAGTTTATACAACTTGATTCCAATTCAAATACCCAAATATACTAAGTGACATATAAATCCGAACACCCAGTTTAAATGGTTTTATTTTAGTGAAAGTTGGTGAATGTATTTATCTTACTGTAAATAACAAGTGAAAAAATTTTAAGCCTTATCAGTTGGACATTCCGGTTTTTATACTGTTTTTTTTTAATTCACTAACGCTCTAAAAATGAATATTTCAGCCGCAGTAAAGAATCAACGTTGGCGGATTTTGGTTCTTGGCATCCTTTACGATCGGTTACGATGCCTAGAGTACGGAGACCTGTACGATTTCGTCAACTTAGTGAGTTTGATAGGGGCCGTATAGTGGGACTTCGGGAAGCTGGACTTTCTTTTCGGGCAATTGCAGTTAGAGTGCAAAGAAGTGTAGACACTGTGGTTAGGTGTTGTCAGGCATGGCTTCGAGAAGGCCGTACGCGAAGAGCAAGGGGCACTGGACGCCGCCGTAGAACAACAGACCGTGAAGATCGCCGCCTAAGATTATTGGCCTTAAGGGACCGTTTCTCCACTACCAGGTCCATTGCAAATGAATGGATTGCAGAACACGGAATACCTATTGGCATGCGAAGTGTTTACCGAAGAATGAGAAGTTTTGGCTTGTTTTCATACCGGCCACACTGGGTCCTCCCTTTAACTCGAGAACACCGACGTAATCGCCTTGAGTGGTGCAGACAACGGTCACTCTGGGATCAGGAATGGAACAGTATTGTCTTTAGTGACGAGTCTCGATTTTGTTTAGGCATGCACGATGGTCGTGCCAGGGTTGGAAGGCGACGTGGTGAAAGGAGGAATCCACAGTTTTTTGTTGAAAGACATGTTCATCACACTGTTGGAGTCATGGTTCGGGGTGCTATAGCTTATGGTTCCAGGTCACCTTTAATCTTCATCAGAGGTAACATGAACGCGTAGCGTTATATCCACGAAGTTCTAGAACCCCATCTTTTACCCTATCTTGACACCCTGGCAGATCCAACTTTCCAACAAGATAATGCCCGACCACATGTTGCAAGAGTCACAATAGACTTCTTTCAACATAATGATGTCACATTGTTACCATGGCCACCAAGATCTCCCGACTTATCCCCAATTGAGCACGTGTGGGATATGATGGGTAGGAGATTGCTCAATTTGCAACGTCCTCCTCAGACTCTAGAAGCACTTCGAGAGCAGTTGGTGGTTGCCTGGAATGAGATACCACAGGAGGACATTGACCACCTGATCAGAAGCATGCCTAGGCGCGTTGGAGAATGCGTAGCACATCAGGGTGCATCCACAGATTATTAATGGTCAAAGGGCTTTAAAGCAGTGCAACCATTTTGAAATTTACTTTTTACTTATTATGCTTCATTAAGTACTTATACAAAATTTTATTAAAATAAAACCGTTTAAACTGGGTGTTCGGATTTATATGTCGCTTAGTATATAACCAGTGAAACAGGCGGTATAATGCGTCGTTTCAACATGATACTAATCTACGTACTAATAAAATACTGATAGTGCAAAAGCCTAATCTTGACAATTTTCAGTTGATAATACTGTCTCAGTAAGTAGAACACAGACCTGATGGTACACCATAGTGTATCAAATTGTAACCACCTACAAGCTAAAGTACATCCTAACTAAGTGTGAATAAAATTCCCGATGAAATGTTAGCAAGATGGAAGGAGGACCACTGCCATGTGTCTTACTTTATTTAACAACAATCCTAACCAAGGTATACACGCTAAACGTTACTCGGAATGGACGGACGTACTTTAATCCACGAATCAGTGTCAACTGTCGAGCCCTGTGACCGTGGCAAAAGAAATAACAGCTGTTCCATGACAGGGATTATTTTGGCGATAAACAGATAAGGAATAACGGCGTCGTAATAAATCAGTCTTAGACTTTTGAGCTTACCTCCATTTATAACCACCATCTGCACCAATTTCGTTTGTTTGACTAATGATTTTGATTTCCTGGGGACTTCCTTGAGGTTTTCCATACGTCGTGTAGACGCATACGCTCAGCAGTGCTACCTGTAATCAGTTGTTCAATTATTTGCTGATTTATTACAGAAAACAATGAAGATTTTACTAATTTAATTATAGACAAGTGCGGCGTGTTTATCAAAGGCCTGGCCGCTTATTCAATTGTTTGGCTAAGAAGAATTATCATTACAACAGACGCAAAACGCTAAGACGCTAATAACCGTTTTTCCGCATCTAATTTATGTATAAAATAAAAAATGTGAAATTGTGTAATCATTACTCTTTTACTGGCAAGGACACAGTGTGGATGATACGGCTACGAGTTTTTAATATTTAATAATATCAATAACAATAATAATAGTAGTTATAATAACAATATTAAAGTATTGAGAAACAAGCCTCTGCACGTTCAATTTGTTAGAAACCTCGACAAGGCAGACATAGACAAACAGGCGACAATGGCGTGGTTACAGATCTCCGGACTAAAGGGCGAGACTAAGAGACTTTTAGTTGCAGCACAAGACCAGGTACTAAAACGCGATATCACTCGAGACGCATCTTGAAGCAGACAACAGACAGCAAGTGCAGAGTATGTGGTCTTGATGACACCACTGTCATGTCAGACGGGCCTATTAACTCCGATCGAACAATCCGAGCAAATCGGCCTGATGTTGTGATTCACAACAAACAACAAAAGACCTGCCTTCTGCTAGATAGCGCAGCACATGATGACTCAAACGTGATGCTGAAAGAAACTGGAAAGATCTCCAAATATGAAGACCTAGATATAGAGATCAGTAGAATGTGGCATGTTAGAGCTAAAACTATACCCATAGTAGTGGACGTCCTAGGAACCATTAAAGTAGGTCTAAACAACTACCTTCAAATGTTACCAGGGCCGCCCAGGGAAACTGAAATTCAAAAGATCGCATTGTTGGCCACCGCACATATCCTAAGGAAAGTGTTAAGGGTAATGATCTCAGAACTCCTGTCAAGCTCCGTGTTTACACCTGAAAACCCTCCAGAGTCGAGAGGAAAAAACATCAAAAATAATAATAATAGTAATAATAATGGTAAAAGTAATAATACGGGGCTTTATTTGCTATATTTAAAAAGCAACCATGTTTTAGGGTAATCATATTAAGCTTTAACCAAGTCGGGGAGGTAATGGATGTTCTATATTCTACAACTAATGACAACATGTAATCAAATACGCAGACATGTCGAAATAATAATTAATACCAAAAAAGCAGAATCGCTAATATAAACGTGGAAATGATACAACATTAAGATTAAATAAATCAAATAATTATACAGCACTGTAATATACTAAGTGACATATAAATCCGAACACCCAGTTTAAATGGTTTTATTTTAATAAAATTTTGTATAAGTACTTAATGAAGCATAATAGGTAAATGATAAAAATTTCAAAATGATTGCACTGCTTTAAAGCCCTTTGACCTTTAATAATGTGTGGATGCACCCTGATGTGCTACGCATTCTCCAACGCGCCTAGGCATACTTCTGATCAGGTGGTCAATGTCCTCCTGTGGTATCTCATTCCAGGCAACCACCAACTCCTCTCGAAGTGCTTCTAGAGTCTGAGGAGGACGTTGCAAATTGAGCAATCTCCTACCCATCATATCCCACACGTGCTCAATTGGGGATAAGTCGGGAGATCTTGGTGGCCATGGTAACAATGTGACATCGTTATGTTGAAAGAAGTCTATTGTGGTCGGGCATTATCTTGTTGGAAAGTTGGATCTGCCAGGGTGTCAAGATAGGGTAAAAGATGGGGTTCTAGAACCTCATGGATATAACGCTGAGCGTTCATGTTACCTCTGATGAAGATTAAAGGAGACCTGGAACCATAAGCTATAGCACCCCAAACCATAACTCCAACAGTGTGATGAACATGTCTTTCAACAAAAAACTGTGGATTAATCCTTTCACCACGTCGCCTTCTAACCCTGGCACGACCATCGTGCATGCCTAAGCAAAATCGAGACTCGTCACTAAAGACAATACTGTTCCATTCCTGATCCCAGAGTGACCGCTGTCTGCACCATTCAAGGCGATTACGTCGGTGTTCTCGAGTTAAAGGGAGGACCTAGTGTGGCCGGTATGAAAACAAGCCAAAACTTCTCATTCGTCGGTAAACACTTCGCATGCCAATAGGTCTTCCGTGTTCTGCAAACCATTCATTTGCAATGGACCTGGTAGTGGAGAAACGGTCCCTTAAGGCCAATAATCTTAGGCGGCGATCTTCACGGCCTGTTGTTCTACGGCGGCGTCCAGTGCCCCTTGCTCTTTGCGTACGGCCTTCTCGAAGCCATGCCTGACAACACCTAACCAGAGTGTCTACACTTCTTTGCACTCTAACTGCAATTGCCCGAAAAGAAAGTCCAGCTTCCCGAAGTCCCACTATACGGCCCCTATCAAACTCACTAAGTTGACGAAATCGTACAGGTCTCCGTACTCTAGGCATTGTAACCGATCGTAAAGGATGTCAAGAACCAAAATCCGCCAACGTTGATTCTTTACTGCGGCTGAAATATTCATTTTTAGAGCGTTAGTAAATTTAAAAAAAGTAGTATAAAAACCGGAATGTCCAACTGATAAGGCTGAAAATTTTTTCACTTGTTATTTACAGTAAGATAAATGCATTCACCAACTTTTATTAAAATAAAACCATTTAAACTGGGTGTTCGGATTTATATGTCACTTAGTATCCTATGTAATGCGGTAGTCAGTTAAATTGGGAGTCATAGATGAACGATTTATTTTTTGTCGAATAATTGATTTTGTGTGTCTGTGGTATTGAGTTGTAAGTAATTGCAGCATTGTATGAAACACACACATTGTAGTATGCTATTATAATAACTTCGTTTCTAAAGGTCCTGTTATAAATTTCGTTATTAAACATTTTTCCGACAATCAAGTTTTTACGTTAAACGTAACTAATGGATAAATATTGAATGATGGTATTTCACAAGGTCGCTTAATTTGAGCAATTTCGGTATAGGGTATTTTGATCTTATGTGATCAAATTGTAAATTATGTATGTTTAAAGACGAACACAATTGTTTATTTATTGTATTTTCAGTTGATTGGCCTAAAGAAGAAAAATATAAAATGTTACAGTTATTAAGGTCAGACAATACTTAAGCCGCACTTAGTTCTTGTTAAGATTTAAAATTAAGTGAAAGTATGTTTTTCTATCAGAGTGTTACAAGTGAGTACTTTCCACACTTGTTAGGTAAATAACTGCCATTTGATATGCATATCCAGAAGCAGGATTGATGTATGGCAATTTATTTAGTTAAATGGCATTTACAACGCCTGAAAATAAACAGTTACTAAGTTGTAGTTGTCATGTAACTACTAGTCGGTAGGCCGGGTGCGGAATGATAAGCTTACAAGAACACGAAGCTTGCGTTGTCCAGCATCTGTATCTGTTTTGACAAGGGATACATATAGAAACCATTCGAACGACATTTGATTAGTTGCTTTCCACGTAAATCCTCAATTGAATTAGATGTAGACGCAAGGGTGCGTTTGTAAATCGTTTGGTAATGTAATACCGTACACAGCAATGTAATGCAGATTGAGAGATCAAATTTTACTCTGACATACTGTGTAACTTTTTATTAGAACGTCTAGATTATTGGAGAGTGATGTAATGACACTTGATGACGGCCTACCAATTTGCAACGTTTCCTGTGACCATTTTTTTATATTAAAAAACGATTTGGATGAGAGGTAGCATATTTGTTGTGGAAAATATATATTCTGCCAATTTTGAGCAATTTTTGGTAACCGAATAAAGTGAAAAAACAATAAATCGGAAGAATGACAACAGTACGACACTCATATTCCCAAGGTTTTATGCACGGGAAGAAAAGTGCACCTTTGACGTTCCAGAAGATTACCTTGCTCTATTTCCGAACGCTGAAAGTATTACAAAGTAGTACAAAGTACATACACTCTGTAACAATTCACGAACGCAGCCCTGGTGTTGCATGTGTCAAAATCTAACAGCTGCGAATAACAACGACTCGACTTGACTTTCATGTTTTATATATATTAGTTTTATATTTACTCCCCATAATGACCAACATAAATAAAGATATTTTTACAAAGCTCTTGATTGACAACGCTCAACTTGAGTATGACCGGAAAACTGAAGGGATTGGTCCTTTAAAGTACACGGGCGGCTTTTTTTTGAGACTACAGCTTTGAACGGTGTCATACAGGATGCTAACAGAGTACCGTACGGGTATTACGTATCTTGCAGACCAGGTAGTTTTTAGGGTACAAACAGTAATTCCACGTTTACTCACTAGGATCGTTGTGAGCGTCCATCCATGGAGGAATAGCTCAACTACACGCATTGTTGGTGGCGTACGTTTTGTGAAGCCGAGTAGTCTGTAGTTTTCATCTCTGAGCAGAGATTCGGTTGAATAGCAAGATCGCATTTGGATGATTATGTGTATTGGTCTGTATGCGTATAACACCAATGATATTTGCTGTGCGAGAAAATCATTACTAAATATGCTGTCGATGAAGTTTATCTATTATCTGTGTCCGACAGGTTATTTATATATATTATATAAATAAATTACAATACTTTAATTTTTTTGTGTTTTCTAAGACTTTGAGGAGAATTACGGGAAATCACCAACACGCCTGCGCTGTGTGTAATTACTGTTTGCATTAGGGTTATCATCAACACATTATTACTACACAAATCCTCGCTATAATAATAATAATAATAATAATAATAATAATATTTATTCACCAAAATACAAAAAATGGGCAAATAAATATGAAAAAACCACAGAAGGCGTCGCCTGTGTGTGGTTTATATCTTAATAACTAACAATCAATCATATATGTGTATAACAATTATTGTTAAATCTAAAAGGTATTAATGTAATTGGAATTTTGTAGTTTTAGTTTTCTATATAATTATGTATAATCATTCGCTGCACATTACTAACCCAGTCTTTCAATTTTCTTCTAATTTTTTTTCCAAAATTAAGTATCTTTATTTCGTTTGGTACTACATTATATAATTTAGCTGCTAAGAATTTAAGTGATTTTTTGAATAATGTTTTGTGTGATCTTTGGATATTAGATGAGCCTAGTCGAAATCGTGTGTTATGCTCGTGTTTATAGGATTTTTTCTTTTTATTACAATACTTATGGTATAAGGTGGTGGCATGTAAGAAATAAAGTTGTCTTGTATCAAGTATCCCTGTTTCTTGATATAAGTTGTTCGTTGGATATAATCTTGGCTTCTGGAAAATGGCTTTCAAAACAGTTTTTTGTGCTTTATTCAGGTCAGAAATATATGTCTTGCAGGCGGCACCCCAGGCTGTGATGCCATATATTATATGGGTTTCAACTAAGGCATGGTATAGGATTCGCAGATAACTTTCTGTAAGAATGTTAGCAAGCATTTTGAGTTTATAAGCAAGATTTCTAATTTTTTTGATAACATATTTAATATGGTTATCCCACCTTAGATGTGAGTCTATAAATATTCCAAGATATTTCAAAGTGTTAACCCTATCGATTTTGGTCTTTTGGCCATGATAATTAACGGAAATTTGTTCGAAGGTAGGTAAACATTTTTAATAGGATGTAAGTGCAATAAATTTTGTTTTTTTGAAGTTAACTGTTAAAATTTTAGTATCAAACCAGTCAATGATCCTTATAAAATCCTTTTCAGCTATTTGCTTCAGTGTGCTCCAGTCATCAGCTTTATATAATACGAGGGTGTCTCTGCAAAACATATAATCTTTCCAGAACTGTTAATTTTGAATAAGTCGTTTAAATAGAGACTAAATAATAGTGGGCCTAGTACTGTTCCTTGAGGCACACCACACTTGATGTACATTTTTTTACTGTAAGTGTTAGTGATTTTGACAGTCTGTGCCCGACTTGAAAGGTAATTTTATAAAAGGATTTGTGACGCTTCCCTAAATCCCAATCTTTCCATAACTTTCAGAAGCTCGACATGGTTAACCGTACCAAAGGCATTTTTTAGATCAACAAAGATACCAATAGTAGGTCTCTTTTTGTTGACATTAGAGTTAATTTCATCCATTGCAGCCAAAATTGCATCTGTAGTAGATTTTCCTTTTCTAAATCCATATTGGTCAGAACATATAACTTTGTTTTTGTCCAAAAATTGTAATATCCTTTTTTGTAGTAATTTTTCGAAAATTTTGGCTATATTCGATAGTACTGATATGGGTCTATAATTTGATGTTTCCATTCTGTTACCGCTTTTATAAACAAGAGTAATAACAGTTGTTTTAAATACATCAGGACAAATTCCAGATTGGAAACACCAATTAATGACGTAAGAAAGTGGTTCGGCTAAGTCGTAGGCTATTATTTTTAAATGGTCAGCTTTGATACCATCTACACCAGGACTTTTTTTGGTTTTAAGTGATAGGACAGCTTCTTGTACTTCAATCGGACTAACGCTTTCTAAAAAGAATGAATTGAGAAGTTGGGTTTTTGTGAACTTTTCGTTCGAAAACATTTTTTTAATACTGGATGCTAAATTTTCTCCAACATTAGTGAAAAAATTTAAGAATGCATCGGATATTTGTCGTTTATCTGTTAATATTGTTCCATCACGATTCTTAATTTTATCAATATTTGGCTTTTCTTGAACGTCTTTGTTAGTTAAGTGATCGACAACTGACCACAGTTGTCTTGGATCAGATTTGGCATCTTGTAATTTTTTAGATAGAAGTGGCGTTTTGCTTCTCTAACTAGATTGATAAAAATATTTTTATATTCTTTATATTTATGGGAGGTATCTGCACATGGCGATGCTTTCATTATTTTGTATAGTTCCTCTTTTTTGTTGGCAGACTTTATCAAACCTTTAGTTATCCAGGGATTCCTGGTTCTGTCAAAATGTTTAATTTTAACTCTGTTTGTACTACATTCAATTAAATATTTTATGCGTTCAATGAGTGTGTTTGCAGCAACATTAACATTCGTTGCACAGTACACTGCTGTCCACGATTCTAATTTGATATTTGCCATAACCTGCAGTAATGCTATCTATGAAGCAGATTTTATATCAGATCAAAGCCAAATATTGATGACTGAAGCCTGATGACGTTTAGGCAACACGTGTAACTACAAAACGAGTTCACAACATGTCCATGAGCGAGTGCTTTGTTAACATCTTTTAGAAAAACTTACATAATGTCACAAAAAACCAATATAATGTCAAAAAAAATCGACATAAAGTCACTTTTCAAGATACGTAGTATCCATGCCGGCTAAGCTTGGGGTGAGTGACTCCTTGAGAAGTAATATAAACATAGGTGCGATAACCGTACCTACTAACATTTTTGTAGATTTTGTAAGCATGAGAAACTTTACAGGCACAGACGTATTGACGAACATTTTACAAAAATGATTAGAAAAACAAGCTATACTAAAACCAAAAATTGTTTCAACTGTGCTAGATGCCCGACTTTAATCCATTAAACTTTCTTTTGGAGGATTTGACTTTTATTGAGCGTCTTTCGTTTTCGATTTGATCCAGATTTTTAACGGTATGTCTGTACTTACTGATTTCTAACAAATTTTAAAGGAGCTACTTGGGGGACTTTTACAATTTTCTTTCGAGAATAAAAGAATATACTTAACAGAGATGGACATTAAGATGTTTGATTTTAAGCTTAATACTTCTGTAAGTAACGTACATTCTTAACGTGTGTGACTCTAATAAGTCATCAAATAGCTATAGACTTCAAAATCTTTTTTTACTAAAATATATTAAGATAACGCTACAGTTGAGTTCACCTGAAATTTCACTACCTTGGCGAAACTTGGATCACGATCTATGCTATGTACTTTTTAATGTAACGGCTTACAGTTCTTTGAGTGTATACGGAACCTCCTACTTTTCCTTTGACTCATTAAAAAAGGATAGGTATTCGATCTAATATGAAGTTTTTTATGCAATGCATTCTCTGTATATAAGGTGCTAAAAAAGTGCCATCGAATGAAGTTCTATTTCTTAAATAGGACTTCTTATACAGTGAAATAACCTGTACTGTTTTATTTTGACTTATTACTGTACCTAGTGAAATAGTTGAATTTCTTGTGTGATCTGGGTTTAAGCCAGATTCCATAGCTAGATGCATAGATACCCATGCATAAGTGACAAAGTTTTATTCTTTGATGGAACTAACAAAAATAATTATAACAAACCATAGGTATTTAAAATCGGAGAAAGGCAATTGAAAATATACAAGACGTTACTATTTGTCGTGGAATTTTTATACCACTTTTATTTCGTACAAAAAAGGCAGCGCATGTTAGGCTACACATATTCCACCTTATTAGTTCTGTTAAGTAATTTTTTCCCGAACAAACATACAGGACAATTTACAGCGTCATGCTTAATTACTACAAAGGTACTGTCAAAGCTACTCACCCTTAGCCAATCCATGTTTATCCCACACACAAAATGACAGGCAGCAGCACTGATTATAACAGCTTCCAGTATTTATAGTGGAAATATACACACCATACATATATATGCTCAATGATTACCTCCCTCTACACATAAGGTGCATCTTCTTGACGTTGTTACGGCAACATTTGCAAATGGCAATGCTGCGACGTGTCCCCCACATCGATGCATCGGTGCATTGTTGTTTACGCGAAACCTGGAATATTCACTTGGACAAATGCAGGTCGCAGATGCAGATTTTTGCCACTTGCAGTTGCCGTCTTTGAAGGATGCGTCCGCAAAATTTCTCACACACTATAGTATAAGCTCGTGAACGTGGACTTGTTGACGGACGAGGAATTCCGTGCGGGTCAATTTTATTTATGTCTGCGAATTTAGGTGTTGTGCAAGGTGCATTTGTTTACAAATTGTCTAATTTGTTATATACATAGTACCCTCAATTTTAAATGAAAATCAATGGTCCATTTATTTGGTAATCTAAAGCAGGAAGCAGTAAGCTTTGCGGAGGTTTTGACAATTAAGTTCAGACTAACAACTTTGCTTTCCATTTGCTGGCTTGTGCTGAACAGAATTAAAGAAGTTTAAGTTGTGTAAACGATGCCCTAGTGGAGTTTTTTGAGAATATGTTGAATTCTTGGTACTACTCGAGAGATCTTTACTTTTGGCGTTACTACGTGTTCGCCTGAGTTTGAAGGTATAAATCTAGTCTCAGTCTTTGCTCGAATAAAATTACCCTTCCACAGAATATCCCCATTCCTGGCCTTTCAACTATGAAAACAAGACAGTTCTGTGGCACGCTAGATTAGAGAAAGTCCCCAATAATCTTCATAGCGAAATAGCAATTTTCGGCATAAGGGAATGTTTGTTGCAAGTTTCAAGAAAAATCTTTGTCTATTTCATTTAACCAGGGAAATAGCCATAATATCAGGTAACCAAATAAGTTCGTGCGGTTTTTAGTAAATAAATATAAATTTTTAGTGAGAAACAATAAGACACTATTTATTCGTCGAAGTAATTACCATCACATTCAATGACCTTGTGCCAACGTGGCACCAATTTTTGTATGCCGGTATTGTAGAACTCCCTGGATTTGGAGTAAAAAAATTGGTGAGCTGCATTTATTACACCATCTGGAGTTGTGAACCGTCGGTGCCTCATACAGTTGTCAAGAGACAAAAAAAAGGAAATGTCGGGAGAATATGTCGGGTGCGGTAACGCTTTCCAGCCAAGTTCAGAATTTTCTTCTCGGGTCAATTTTGCGTTATGAGGCTTGGCGTTATCCCGCAAGAATATGACTTTCTTCTTGATCAAAGAAGGCTGTTTTTGGTTGAGTGCTGCTTGTACTCGTTGAAGCTGCTCACAATACAAGTTAGCAGTGATGGTTTGAGCCCTTTCCAAACCTTGTTTGGGTGCAAGGAAGCCTTGGGCGTGTGTGGTACCGAATCAGTAGGCCACAACTAATGATACGAACGCTTAAAATCCGATTACAAGATCCATTTCTTGTCGCAGGTTAAACCGATTAAGAAACGGTTCATTAGCGTTGCGTGAAATGTTTGCTGAACAAACAGTAAGACGACTTAATTTGTTATCATCTGTCAGTTCATGTGGAACCCATCTGCTTAACTTCCACGTCTTTCCTAGCTGATGAAGATGCAAGCGAATAGTTTCAAGACTCACTCTGAACATTTCTACAACTTGTGAGAAAAGAAGGATTCATACTAAAGTGACAACAGGTAACTAACAATCGCTATCGATCAACAACATCCATGGCAATGTGCGATATATAGCAACCGCACGAACTTATTTGGTTACCTGATATATTGTGACGTCTAATGGGCAACCAATGTATAACGGATATATACTTAGTGACAAAAAAGTAAACACCTACGTATTTCAAATTCAAATTCAAATAGTTTATTCAAATTCAAAAACCAATATAACTTACAAATTAAAAACAACCTTCAGTACAATTTAAATAAAAAAAAGCTTAAAAAATACATGACCTTGTATACTCTTGCTACCCTGAATAACCAAGATCGCAACAGAAATCTGAGCAAAGATACTACAGTATATTCAGATAAGAGATAGACCGGACATAAACAAGACCACGTGATCATTGAACGATGTAACATTCGGCAGGGACATATTAAGAGTCACGCAGTACATATTTTAGATAGTAGATGCTGCTTTGCGTAACTTTGTAGTAAATTGGCACAATTCGATGTGTATACGATTGGTGATGGATATAGGATCATGTGGGGGTGGGGTAAGAAATATATAATGATGTAAATATACATAAGGGTTTGAAAATTTTCGCTTCGATTTCCAGCTTCGGATGCCGCCTGATGTTTGGTGAAATACAGTCGAATATAATCTCAAAATGGCGTTTAAATTAGCCTAAATTAAAAATAATCGTATATCTCTTAAAATTGCTTTTAGAATATTGATTAGTATATTTTTTGATTTCTAGGTAAATATGTAACCAAATTAAAACGTTCAAAACGTAAAAAAATGTGCATGGTTGAACATTGTCAGAAAGTAGATTCTTGAATAGGTTTTGCCAAAATGGGTTCAAGAATGTCAATAGTTAATTAAAAAATACAGTAGCTTTATAATTACTTATAACTTACCGAATTTGATGAACGACATCTTTTATTGGAAAGATGAGCTACTGCCTGAAGCACCAACGTCAATAGTGAATGGCTCGACTTGTTCCTCTAAAATATTGTCCAGTTCCCACATTCTCTTTTCAACTTTGTCTTTCACGTGCTTAATACAGTTTTCCCATTTTTGCGCTGTTATTAATTCTAGTGCTTCTTTGAAAAGTCCTTTGAGGTCACAAAATTTAAAAGTTGTATTGTGCTTAGCTATATAATTTTTAACCTCTGCCCATATGAGCTCAATGGGATTGAGCTCGCAATGGTATGGAGGTAAACGGAGCACAGTTTTATTTTGACTTGCTGCCATTTCGTCAATGGCGTATTTTTGATATTCCGCCTTGTGATCATTGACAATTCTTAATAATTGTGCTTTCAGCATTGCTTCTTCAAAGTTGATATTTTTCGAGCGGAGCCAATTTTGAACATCAACTTTCCTTGAAGCCGTTGTTGGGACCTTCTCCATTCTTCGAAAATGATAAGGTGCATTATCCAACACAATTACTGCGTTTTCCTCTAAGTTCGGTAAAATTTTTGAAAACCACTGTTCAAACGATTCGCCATTCATTTCCTCGTGGTAATCTCCAGTTTTCTTAGACTCAAAGCACTACAGACCGTCAACAACAAATCCATCCTCACTGCCAATATGGCAGATAATGAGCCTTTTCCCTTTACCTGGAAATCGAAGTACTAACTGGTGTAGATTTACTTCAATACCTTTCTCAAATTTTTTCATCACATTCAGCGAAAAACATTGAGACATGAGTATCAGATTGCTATAATTGGGATTATTTAGTCATATTGAAAGAAAGAATATTGAACGTCGTATGATTACTCAGCGCTTCACAATTTAAAGTTATAAACCTTTAAAAAATGAATGATCAGGAATCTGAAATACGCGCAAATATTAATATTAACAAATTATAACTTTATAAAGCTTAAAGTATGAATTAAAATGATTAGAAATATTAGGAACGGTACACAACATAAAACTTAGTAACTTTTTTTAAGTTTATAATATTCGACATATTTTAAGATTATATTAAAAAATTATTGAAATATCGAAAACACATAAAAACATGGCTTAAAGAAGTTCTAACAAATGAAAATGACAATAAAACATCCACGCATTTTATCTAAAGTTATAAAAGTTTTGTTACTTGTAATATGTTTTATCTGCCCCCTGGAATTAATGTTTAGAACCTTGTTCCCAAGGTTTGAAAAACATCCGATTGTTGTCTATTACTCGTATTTACCTGCTGGATTTTTTAATCCGGTGGACACTCCATCTAGAAAGGCCCTCCTGGATGAAGTTACAGAATCATCAACCCATACTTTACTTGTAGTGTGTCCTGCGTTTACCCACGTTTCATCAAGGTAATAAATCTTCCTGTTTTGATTTCTATATTTCCCAATTTTTGTTAAATAATCCCTCCTCCATAGCACAATTTCTTCTCTATCCAGTAGTAAACTATTACGACCCCGTTTTTTCCTTTTGAAATTTAAATGCTTCAGTAACGCATGGAAAGTTGATCGTTTGAAATTTGGCAACGTTGTATCTCCATTTACCTCATGCAGTACTTTATCTATAGTAGGTATTTCATTCCTAAAGAAGAATTCATGCACTTTCCTCCTAATCGCATGCTTATCAGCTTCATCCAATGATTTAACAATACTTTTGCGATGTTTACTGGACATTGGCTCAGAAAAGGTGTGATTTTTTTTGTATTGTCTTAACACATTAAACACTGATGCGCGACACACCCCAACTTTGTGAGAAACCTTCACAACAATTTCTTTGATGGTTGATGCCTCGTTCTCCTCGCGCTCGATCTTATATATATTCAAAATGACCTCTTTCATTTCTGCACTCAGGTGTCTTTTTTTAGAGCGTTTCCTAGGTGGACTAAAGGAGTTTACAACTTCATCGGCAGTATCTGTACTACTGGGCATTTTGCGCAAGCAGTTGATAACAATAACAATCAATAACAAGGTATAACAATAACAACGACAAACTCAAGAACTTAATAAGATAACAAACGAAAACGTCCAAAGAAATATCAAATTGCAATGATGCACACGACATACGTAACACGCGTGAACCTGAATGTGACTCTGCCTTGATACGACTGCTCTGCCGCTCGGCATAGGCATTTAATTGCGAATTGACCAATGAGGGCTCCTGTTTTACGTCGAGACGGCGGCGTTAGCGTGAAAACCACCCGAACCTTTTGTTTACATCCGGTCTATCTCTTATCTGAATATACTGTAGCATCAGATCTAGAACCAGCAAGTAACGGTATATGAATTGTGAAAATTCTGTATACTTTCGTAAAGGGTAAATGTCTGAATCTTGTCGTCACAAATCCTAAATTACGTGTCTGCATAAACAAATCTAAAATTCAATAACAATAGTACAGAAGGATAAATATAGAGTACATAAAATATGAATATCTGAAATATGATAATATAGGGATATTTCGAGTAATGTCAAACTATGTTGTTTAAACAATAAAAATTTTGCGTAAAGGTTAAGCAGAGAAACAAGAGTACTACAATTTACTACAAAAGAATACACACCTAAGCTATAAGCTTGTGTGTGTGTCATACAATATACAAATTCAATGCATGGCTAATGGTCATAAGGTATATTATGAGCAAAATGTATATAAAAAAAAGAAATAAAAAAAACATTAGATAGAAACGAAATTACTGAGTTGACTCAAGCTACCGTCGATGCAAGCATGTCAAAGTTATTTAAGATGAACTTCGTTATTTTTTTTTTTGAAACTATACTTCGAGAGGATTTTAAATTCTAGGGGTAATTTATTATACAACCTAATACCATCAAACTTTATGCATTTTTGGCAAACAGATTCATTCACTCTGGTATAGGTGTAACTTATATTTATTTTAGTTCTTGTTTCATAGGCGTGGCTGGTTGGAACATTGTTACGGGAGTGAACAAATTTTAGAGCAGCATAAATATATAAACCTCTAACATTCAAAAGATCATTCTCAATGTAAACAAATCTGCAACTTGACCTACATGGGATACGAAAAATAGTCCTGACAATATAATTTTGCGTGGTTTGTAGTATTTTTAAAGTACTAGTGTATGCGGCTCCCCACATACTTATCCCGTAAGTTAGTAGAGACCCCACATACGAGTTATATATTGAGAGAAGACTCTTTCTGCTTAAAATATTCCTAAGAATGAAAAACTTATGAATAATTCTCCTTAATTTCGATGTCAAAAGCTCGGCATGACTCTGCCATTTTAAATTACTGTCAATAGTAGTTCCTAAGTATCTAATAACTTCAACTCTTTCGACAGTGTCAGCACTATCATTTATAATTAATGTGCGGTGGTGTAATGGCATGCCTGCTTTGGTTGAAAAAAACATTACATGCTTAGTTTTAGAGATATTAAGTTTAAGTAAATTGTTATCCAACCAGCATTTGACTTTATTTAATGACAACTCGGCATTCGTATTGCGTCATCCCATGAATGACCAGTGCAAACTAAAACAGTATCGTCTGCATATGATATCATTTTACAGTTGAAATTACATCGAAGCAGTTCATTTATGTATATGAGGAACAGTGTTGGTCCCAAAACCGTCCCCTGATGCACACCTATTTTGATCTTTTGAATGCTGCTTAAATCTGACCCTACCTTAACTTGTTGTAATCGATCAGCCAAATAGTTCTCAAATAAGTTCAGAACTCCGCTACGCACTCCAACACTTTCTAGTTTCTTTAATAAAATTGTATGAGATACTGAATCGAAAGGCTTTTGAAGATCTAGGAAAACTGCAACAGTCTTGAAAATTTTCAAGCACCTGTCCTGTAAGTTCTTGTAGAGATTGCTCTGTATTGCAATTTTTACGGAACCCAAATTGATAGTTCGATATTATGTCATATTTCTCAAGAAAAAGAACAAAGTCTGTTATTCAAACACTTCTCAAAAATCTTCCCAAATACATTGATAACTGAAATAGGTCTATAATTGAACATATTGTCTTTACTTCCAGATTTAAATATTGGTGTCACTATGCTTTCTTTAAATTGGCGAGGAATTACTGAGGATTTGAAACAGAGGTTGATAATGTGATTCATAGGGTGACTGATATACTTCATGATCTTCATGATAGTTTTAGTGTGTAAGCCATTTTTTCCGGGTGCGCTATTATTTTTCAAATTACAAACTATTTGTTGTAACTCTATGTTATCCACTGGAGTTAGAAACGTAGAGTGAGCAATGTTGACGACTTGAGGATCTGATGTATCAAGAATTGAGTGTTGATCAATCTGACTTGTTATTTGCTCACCTATATCAACAAAATGTTTATTAAAAACACAGGCTATATCAGTGGGAGCGTCCAGCTGCTGATTATTGTGATTAATTGATTTTACGTCATTTTTTTTTTATTTTGCCAGCATTAGTTACCTCATTAATAACATCCCAGCTCTTCCTATAGTTATTACCAACTAAACTGAGTTTTTGTGTATAATATTGATTTTTAGAGATCTTAATAAGATTAGTTACTCTGTTTCTGTAGGAGATATAGGACTGTCTCAATATCAAATTATCTTTATCTTTCGTCAAACTCTGTTTCAACTAATCCCTCTTCTTGATCGAAGTAAGAATACCGTCAGTCATCCACGGCTTGCGTTTTCTGGCCTTACTATTTATTTTTAAATAATACGTTGAATGATCTATGCCTTTATATAATTCATTATAGAAGTTAACGTATGTTTATTAGAATTTAAGAATTCTTTACGTATTGATTCATCTTGCCATGAACAGCAAGTGAAAAAATCATCAGGTATTTCTGTTAAGCTTTTGTGGTGGCTGGTATACGACGGATTAGCCTTTTTTCTTGTCGCCCCCATTGGGTGCTACCCCTCACAGCTGAACATCGGTGTAACCGTTTGCCCTGGTGTCGAGAAAGGGTTCTGTGGGAACGGGAATGGAATCAAGTGGTCTTTAGTGACGAATTCCGCTTCTGTCTGGGGATGCACGATGGTCAGGCAAGGGAGTTATGCTATTGGGTGCTATTGCTTATGATAGCAGATCACCACTAATTTTTATTAGAGCCCCACTCTTTATTCAGGAAGTAGTGGATCCTCATCTTGTTCCATACATAAACAAGAAACCAAAACCCGATTTTTCAGCAGGACAATGCCAAAGTAGTCTTCATGGATCAACATCACATCAACCGTCTATTTTGGCCACCACGATCGACTGACCTGTCTGCAATTGATTCTAGAAAATCCCACGGTATGGCACAAAAAACCTATAAAATGTAAAAAAAACCGCCAAAATGTCACTTTTTAAGATACGTAATACCCGTGCCGGTGCGTAGCAAAATGCGTAGTATCTGATAGGCGTTTATAATCTCATCACACTCTAATTGAGCTTCTTCCAGTACCCAGAAAAAAGTTTCGGCGTCACGAGTCAGTCATTATCGAAACGAATTATACCACTTCATCCTTATGCGGCTCATCAATTATTGATAATCAGAGATTGGTATGCTAATCCGAAGATGTATTGTTTTCATTCAGATTCAACTATTCACAACATTCGTTCGCAAATGCAACTTCAGGCAATGTGTCACTTTGTTAGTAGGTTCCGCGCATTGGTGCCGCTAAGGTATACGGAACACTGATAGTAGGGTCAGTCAGTCATCAATCGCTTCCTCTCTGCGCCAGTTACCCAGCCCAGGAGGTGCACGAAGGGGTAGCTACTGCGTGCGAGATCCCGATGGCCAGGTAGGCGAAACCTCTTAAGACCGAAAACTGCTAACAGCGGCGTACCACAAGCTTCGGTCCTCGTGCTATTCCATGAGAACTTCTATAAAACGGTGTGCTAGAACTCACACTAACTAAGGGTGTGCTTAATACACCAGGGTGGTGAGACCCATAATAAGCGCGTGGGTCGGTGTCATGGCTACACACAGTCGGAAGCGGTAGAAAAAGAAAGATCCTCCAATACATGTCAAAAGCACAGACGGCTCGAAAACTGAAGACAAAGCTGGAACAGGGATTTATGGGATAAGGCCAAAAACTGAGATATCTATAAGTCTACGAGCCCCTTCCCACTTCAGTTGACCCAACTATTGAAATATTAGTTTTTTTCTTATCAAACACAAATAATAAAAACGTAGCAAGGTGTTATAGGTTTAAAATATTAACAATGAATATTTTGATAATATATATTAGAAAACACCAAATTTATCACTCCTTAATCAAATTTGCAGCATAGAAATACACATGTTGCAATAACAGCATCTCAACCTATTCCCATTTCAATGCAAAATAAGTCTATAATGCATAGGTGGCTGTGAAAAATAAAAGCAATGACAATTGTTTCCATTAACCACAGCTGTCAGAATACGTTTAAAATAGTTTTGGGTAGTTAAGGTTTTCAAAATGGGTAGAGAAAAGGCTATTAGTGAGAAAATTCGGTTACTGATAATTAAATTTTATAATTCTGGGAAATCAAACTCAGAAATTGCAACTTTATTAGACTTATCGCGGTACAGTGTGAGAAATATTGTTAGAAGATATAACATAACCGGTTTAGTTAATATTAAGCCACGATATGTGAAAAAAAGTAATATCACAAATGCTGACCGAAGACCATTAAGAAGAATAATCGTGAAAAACAGTGCCAATTATTTACAATTAAGTGCTCTGTGGAGTGACGCTGTTGGAAGGAGAATTTCGAGGTCCACAACTCATAGAGAGACCCACAACCTGGGATTTAGTACTTGCAGGGTAAGTTTTCTTATAAAAAAAGTGAAGTAAAAACTCTAAAGTTGCACAACTTGTTTATAGGCCAAAGAAAAGCCACTATTAACTCCACTGCAAAAGAAAAATCGGCTTAGATGGACTAAAAAACATAGGCAATGTGCACCTCAACAATGGTGTGCAATACAATGGAGTGATGAGGCCCGATTCGAAGTTTGTGTTGGTGACAGTCGCAGGAGAGTTATTCGCAAAGAAAATTAAGCGTTCCATGTTGACTGTCTGGAGAGAAAAGTGAAATTTCCAGCATCCATTATGGTCTGGGGCACTATGTCATCAAAAGGAATAGGAAAACTTCATTTTATTGATGGAAATGTGGATACAAACAAATATTTGTCAATTTTAGAAGAATCGCTTTTACCAGTGATGTAAGAATGTTTGACATCCGGCCAAGATATTGTGTTTCAGCAAGATGGTGCAGCGTGCCATACCTCAAAAAAGGCTATCAAATGCTTGTCAGAAAATAATGTACCACTTTTGAAATGGGTTTCTAGCAGTCCAGATCTGTCACCTATTGAAACTTTGTGGCACGAGATGAAAAAGGTTCTACGACAACATCCTGCTCGTACAATCACCGAACTGAGACAAATGCTTCAAGAAATATGGGATTGTTTTAAACCAATTTTTTTTCCAAAACTTGGTTAACACTATGCCTCAAAGAATTTCAGCCGTAATAAAAAATAAAGGTGATGTTACCCAATGGTAATCTTCCAATTGTTGCTTTGTTAACTTCGCGCATTTATTCGCACATTGTTTATTTGTTGAGATGTTCTATTAGTTATAGGTCTAAGTGATTTCAGATATGTATTTTCTATGACTAGAGTGTATCTAAAATGTTTTTGAGAAAATAAACTGTTTTAGAAGTAAATAGTTTCGTCATGTTTAGTTTATAAAGGCATATTTTGGTACAAATCTTGAAGTAGGCCAAATTAGTGTAACACAGGGCATTTTCACACCCACCCTACTTATGTAAGGCTGGGTGTTAACAGTTATTTGATCGAGGATTTGTCCTTTTTGCCAAAAATATTGTGTGTATTTTCTATAATACGGTAAATATAATGTTTTTTTTTTTTGTTTTTGTTTTTTGGCAAATAAATGTATTTTGATTTGATTTGAAGTGGGAAGGGGCTCGTAGGTAATATCGCAACGATATTTCAGGTTGACGTAACGGCCATACACGTCTGCAGAAAAAAACTAATAGGGAATAAGGCTGCAAATCAGTCGACCACCATCTGCTCAGACAGCCATGCAGCCATAAAGGCATTAGTTTCTTCGTAAAATCGTCTAGACTAGTATGGGACTGTAACGCTTCCTTTCCGCAAAAAGTCCAGAAAAGATGGAATGCAATGAAGATTCCAACTTTTCTGCACAATCACAGAAAGGGGGTTAACATTAGCTTCCGGTAGCTCAGTCGGTGGCATGAAGACATCTACAGGCGTGTGTCGACCATGGCATGGCTAGAGGATAGAAGAACAAACAGAACACAAAAATGTAACAGATTTTATTTAATTTGAAAAGCACTTTCATTACATTTGAATTTGAAAGAACAAAATAAGTTTTAAATCTTTGGCGCTGCTATAAAATTATACACTTATCTTTCGCTGGTCCATTTTGACTGAACTGAAGCGAGGATCGCCAGGTGCTTGAAGTGGAGGTCCCAGTTATGAGGGGTGACCTCACATTTAGTGGCTTCAAAACCAGTTGTAGGCGAAGTTGAACTTAAAGGTGATGGCGCTGCCAAGGCACATGCATGGGTGAAGTGATCGGCCAAGCAATGCAAAGTCAAAGACTACATGAGTTGCAAAGGCAAAAGTCAAAGACAAAGGCAAAGGGAAAGGGAAAGGGAAAGAGAAAGGGGGTGGCCCCAATCATTTTGTCCTATTCGGACACACATTCTACAAAATTCTAGCACATGGTGCTATATGACCCCATGCTACAGAGAACAAAATTCTTAGCTCTTGTTCGATCTGCGGCTCAAGTGAAAAGGAAACGCGAGGAAGATCGCAGATCAGGAACTCCGCATCAAGCGGGCTCCAAGCGGAAATTTTTCCAAGTAAAAAAGCTAGAGATGGGATTAATGAAATGATAATCGAGAAGTGATTTAATAAATACGATCGGACGGTGAAACCGTTACAGGACTGCGTCAAAGAGCATTGTTCTGGGTACCAGGACATGAACGGCACAAAAGAAATGAAAAGGAAGCCCTATAGGGTGCGGCCAATGGCCTTATAGGTCCATATGAAACTGGATCCTGAACAGTCCCTAAAATGGTGGAACATCGGATTTTTCGTTTCTGCAGAGAGCATTATAAAACTCCAATGCATTTCCTGTGTCACTGTGAAGGTCTGACAAGACTACGGTTTCAGATAGTAGGAACCACATATCCAAGAGCGGAAAGCTACATGTAAAGCCTGTGTCAAAGCTATGGAGTCTGATTAAAGGATGAAAGCTGGACACAGTGCTTTAGAAAGGGTAGATGGGGGTCACAATAGATCTATTGGGTTGCAGTGACGTTACGGCTAACAAGTAAAAAGGACGGTAGAAGAGGCGTCTAAAGTAACAGGTATGCTGTCGAGATCGGGGCCAAATGTTAGAGTGTCAAAAGCATGTGAAGTGAAAACTTCTTTACTCGGTTACCAGCTCCAGGGCACTCACATGGATGTCTGCACTGTGTAAGGTCTCTGTTCGACAGAACCCGGCTTCTGTACCCCGAAAGGCGCGCATACAGGACGATCTCCTCAGAAGTAGCTGTAGGTGTTGCAAGTTACCCGAAAGAGTTTGTCGCCCTTGAAACAGAAGATATCTGTGATGTCCTAGACCGCGCTACTGCTGGGAAAAGTTTCTTATTTCACTTGCAACAAAGGAGGCCAGAGAGAACCTTGAATCACCATAAGGGAGGGGGAGGTTAACTTCTTCCTCACGCAGATGCTGCCTAGGCACAGGTGTTTTGGTACCTACCTCAACAAAATCGGTGTACACTGTTCTGCTGTACCCGCTGGTCATCAGAAAGGCGATGTAACTAGGAAATAGGTGACATCCTAATACAGATGATATGTTTGTAATAAGCCTGTCTTACTATCCTATTATGCTCAAGTTTATTCAAAACTAAAGTATGGGATCTCATTTTGGGGTTCATCTCGATTTCTATCAAGAATGTTTATATTGCAAAAAGGCGCAAATAGGAACATGGTTGGTTTATGATCTATGGAGTCATGCAGGTCTCGGTTTAAACAAGAAAAATGACTCACCTTACCATAAATGTATATGACTGAACTGATAATGTAAGCAGTGCAAAATTTTAATGAGTTCGTCACAAATGCTGAGTAGTAACGAGACCCTAGTTTTGCCTGCTAACAATTTCTCCCTTTTTAAAAATTCTCCAAAATATATGTCAACTTAGTTGTATAACAAGTTAGATACAAGCTTAATGAGCATAACGGATATAGTTAAGTTTAAAAGAGAATTGTATAAGTAGACTAGAGACTACCACGGCTTAAACGAAGCTGAAAACCTTGAAGATGTGCAAGTATATGTTGTTGATGGAGGAGAAACGGAAAATATAGCGGACAGTGAAGTGAATGCTTTCAAAGAAAATAAGGATATAGAAAAAAATGGCTAATAAAGAATTGGAGCAAGTGAAAAAGTTACAGAAGTTGAAAATGAAGGTTCGGTATGCATCGTACGTCAAGAAGATCATTATAGAACACTGTTCAAAGTGTAACAGTAACATTCATTTCACCTGTGGTGTTTTAACACTTAACAGCCAATACGAATCAGATTTTCGATGCTTTCTTTCTATTCGTCATTGTTCATCACAGCGGTCCGTAGGAAAGAAAGGAAGAAGAAAGGAAGGAAGGAGGGATAGCAAAGAAAAAGAAGTGCGTCAATTTAAGGGGTGCCTTGACGTTGCTAATTAGTATTTGGCAATTTTAAATTGACCCTAAAATTAATTTTGGGATTGGTTGTTGAAAAAAATTATAATTTTGGTTGGACCTAAAGTCGCACGATTTAATTTTATTCACAGTGCGAGTCGCGGCCTTGCGTGCTTGCAAACTTGCTCAACTGTGTAGTCTACTGACTCGCGCGACAAAGTGTTGCTATCCGATTCCGCTTGACTGTAACGTAGCTGCGCTTGTTGTTTGATATAGTCCCGTAGGTAAGGGATATCAAGGTCTCTGTGAAGGGTCTCGTCGAAAACATACCATCGGACGCAAGGTTCTGTTCTGCAAAACCTGCAGGCTACGCAAATGCGTTTTAGCGAGAAAACACCAAGCTGCACTTGCCTAAGTGACCACTGGTCTAATAACCATCTTGTATAGCCGAACTTTGTTGATCAAACTTAATTTTGATGTTCTACATAGCCTAGGGTAGAGTTGCCGAAACGAGATTTGGAATTTCGTTTTTAACGCTTCAGTGTGCTTCTGCCAGGTCATCCCCTTGTCAAGAGTGACATCCAGATACTTAGCAGAGCTTTCCCGAGTTCCATTCACTGAAACCTCAGACGAGGCGCCGCTACGTTTTTTAGTATAATAGATTGCCTGCGTTTTCGACTGATTAATTTTGATCAGCCACCGATTCGCCCATTCCAATACCTCGTCCACTGCACTTTGCAGCCTGTCGTGAACTGGATTCCCAGTACACGATTGGGCGACCAGGGTAGTATTATCAGCATACAGATGGATTTCACAGTTGCTGGGGCAAGGGACGTCATGAATAAACAGTGATTAAAGGACTGGTCCAAAAAACGAACCCTGAGGGACACCGGCTTTCATGGGCCGTGTTGTCGAAATGCTTTCTTTGTCAACGTTCCTGTGATATAAATGCGAATGTCGAAAAAGCCAAGAAAGGTTTTGAAGTACAAGCCACTTCAATGCTGGTACAATCAAATAAAAAGTTCAAACCAGCACTAGCCCAATGTTCTTTTACAAGTTCTCGAGGTAGATCGTGGAAGATTAGCACCAAGAAACGTAACGGCAGATGTACAAATTCCAGAGACAGATCGTGGAGTTAGCAACAAAAACTGGAGTTTTACAAAGACTTTTTTTTAGAAATAAATTTCAATTGGCGGACAATAACATTTTAATAGGCACCAGTACTGTTGACAGCAAAACGGATTTATTTCATGTATGTGCATTAAAAAATGTACGAACAAAACAGGTTCTTGTCGTAAAAAGAATGTAACCTGCAATTCGAAATGTCATCATTCAAGTTCTTGCTCAAACAAATAATTATTGATTAACATCATCATTATTGATTGATATTTCTCTAGAATAAGGTTCTATTTTTGTTATACTTGTATGAAAATTTAAATATGTTAAAATGTATTTAAAAAATATATTTAGCTTTGTGTTATGTGTTATATAATATTTAAAGAGGTTAGAAGAATATTACTTATTTCGCAGAGCTAGCCTTGTCCTTTAAAAAAGGCGCAGAGCTGGTTCCGAGTACTTATTAGGTACCGATAAATAGTGCTGGTAAAACATAAAAGCACAAAATTAGTTTTGCATACTTTAAAATGAGCAAAACTAGTTCTGCTTATTTTGTAACACTCAATTGCCGAATAAAAGTAATATTTCAGGTTTCGGAAAACATTGTTGTTCACAACCAGTTTTGTACATTTTTTTCGGGTAATGTCCGAATTCGAGTATTGATCGTACCATATGTATAACTGTTGTAAAGGCTTTTCTCCTGTTAAATAGATTGCAACATTTAGAAATCTTGCCTATGTACATACGTGGTTGATATTTTACAAATGAGAATAAAAAATAAAATATATGGTAAACAAATTCATAGGAATTGGTACCATAAATGAATTCCAGAAAATTATCCTGAATAGTCGGTCTTGAGAAGTCCGAACATGATATCCGC